AAACTGGGGACCTCTGAACCTATCGAGTGCGCTACTCGAGATCTAAGGCAGCAGTAAGCGTGACATTTTCCAGGAAAATGAAAGAATATGATGCAAAAACAAAAAATTGAGTTGAGTTTAGAGTAATGTTTCTTAGCGGAGATTGATTTTTTTTGTCGGGCGTAGGCTTTTAGTTAAATTGATCTTTTATAATTGTGCTCAAATTTTCTCTAAGAACAGCTGTTAATTGAGCCAAGTTCAAAATTTAGCAATTGAAGTTTTTAAGAAAACATCTCATATCAGCCAAACAACTCTAATGGAGACTATGTTCAACTTCCACTAACTTCATCTCAAATTAAAAGTTTCAAAAAAACAGAAAAGGAAGAAATTGTTTTGGTCAGTGAAACACTGTTTGAGAACGAGTTTAAATTGTCTTAGTACTCTAACACAAAAATCACTGATCAAACCGCAATTCAAGGAAGTTCAGGATCAAAAACTGAGAAAACTTTTTTGTTGCAAAGTCCGTTCGATAGCTAACCATGTCTTCATTGTTGAAATAAGACGACACAACAATTCATCAATGATTTTATGATTTTGACAAATTTTCATGACAAGAAAAAAAAACTTTTTTCTTGCATTTTATCCCCGGAAAACAACAAAAAATCAAAAAAAACACAGAAGAAAAGTTAGAATACTCGAAAAGAACTTTAAGATAGGAATTTAACACTGTCAGGAATCTTTTCGAAAAGCGCTAGAAGATTTCTAATCAACCGAAGTTGTTCTCAAAAATTTTGATGGAACTTGATTCATTGAAGCTGTGGAAAAGGTCCAATGAGAACCAATCAGCTGGAGGCAACCTCAAATTGGGGAGCTGTGCACCTAACGAGTGCGCTACTCGAGACCTGCTGCAATAGAAAGCGTGAAATTTTTCGGTAAAATTTTTAAAAAATTGTACAAAAAAACGTGTTTGATGTAGACCTATGTTTCTGAGCGGGGCTTTGAAAAACGGTCAAAAATTGAGGTTTTGTCGAAGGTAGGCGTTTGCTAAAATTTAACTTTTTGTTTTCGAGCAAATTTGCTTGTAAAACAGCTTCTGTTTGGGCCAAGCTCAAACGATAACGAGTGAAGCATTTATTATTACCTGTCATAACAGTAGAAGAATTCCAATAGAGACAATTTTTACCTTTCACTAACTTTATCTCAAATGATTTTGTCGAAAAAACAAACACAAAAAAAAATTGTTTTGATCAATGCAACACTGACTGAGAACAAAGTTAAAACTGTCTAACCACTCGAACATTTAGATCACTGATCAAACCGCAATTCAAGGAAGCACAGGATCAAAAACTGAGAAAACTTTTTTGTTGCAAAGTCCGTTTGATAGCTTTGAAGGTGCGGATTCATGCTAATCGAGAGACGCAGCAGCAGTAAACTTTTTAATATCAAAAAATCTCAAAATAAGTGAAACAAAAAACCTATGAAAGTCTTCTTCGGAGACATCGTGAAGTGTGAAATCTTTCAAGAATAGAAATTGAAGTGCGTTTGGTAGAAAGAAACAATTATGTACAATTTTAAACAGTTACATTGTTATCGAGCATTTAATTGAGCCCTGCTCTCTCTCAGTCGGTAGAGCGTTGGACTGTTAACTAACGGTTAGGTGATCGAGTCCTTTGTGGGGCGTAAATTTTTGGTTAGCTTCTAGCTTTTGCTTAAAGTAGGTTCATTTTGAAAGTCGGCTTGTTTCAAACCAACTTCAAACCATGTCTTCCTTGTTGAAATAAGACGACACAACAATTCATCAATGATTTCATGACTTTGACAAAATTTCATGACAAAAAAAAACGTTTTTCTTGCAATTCATCCCCGGAAAACAACAAAAAATCAAAATAACACAGAAGAAAAGTTAGAAAATCTTCATTTTTCAAACAATACAATACTCGAAAAGAACTTTAAGATATGAATTTAACACTGTCAGGAATCTTTTCGGAAAGCGCTAGAAGATTTCTAATCAACCGAAGTTGTTCTCAAAAATTTTGATGGAACTTGATTCATTGAAGCTGTGGAAAAGGTCCAATGAGAACCAATCAGCTGGAGGCAACCTCAAATTGGGGAGCTGTGCACCTAACGAGTGCGCTACTCGAGAATTGCTGCAGTAGAAAGCGTGAAATTTTGCGGTAAAATTTAAAAAATGGTACAAAAAAAACGTGTTTGATGTAGACCTATGTTTCTGAGCGGGGCTTTGAAAAACGGTCAAAAATTGAGTTTTTGTCGAAAGTAGGCGTTTGCTTAAATTTAACTTTTTTGTTTTTGAGCAAATTTGCTTGTAAAACAGCTTCTGTTTGGGCCAAGTTCAAAAGATAACGATTGAAGCATTTATTATTACCTGTCATAACAGTAGAAGAATTCCAATGGAGACTATTTTTAACTTTCACTAACTTTATCTCAAATGATTTTGTCGAAAAAACAAACACAAAAAAGAAATTGTTTTGATGAATGCAACACTGACTGAGAACAAAGTTTAAACTGTCTAACCACTCGAACATTTAGATCACTGATCAAACTGCAACTCAAGAAAGCTTAGGAAGAAAAACTGAGAATACTTCTTTGATTGTACAGTCCGTTCGGGAGCTCGGGAGGTACTGATTTAAAACATTGAGAAACTTGCAGCAGTAAACAATTACCTGCAAAAAAACCATCGAGAAAACTGAAAGAAAACGACCTATAAAAGTCAACTTTGGAGTAATCGTGAAGTGTTTAATCTGTCAAGAACAGAAATTGAAGTGTTTTTGGTAGAAAAGAATAAAATTGTACAAACTTAAAAAAAATAACTGATATCCTGCAGATCTATTAGCCCTGCTAGCTGAGTCGGTAGAGCGTTGCGAGTTAAATCCAACGGTCATGGGTTTGAGTCCCTTGTGGGGCGTAAGTTTTCGGGCGGATTCTTCTAAATTTTGTTTGAAGTAGGTTCATTTTGAAGTATGGCTTGATTCGAACCAACCTCAAAAGACGTTTTCAATAATAAAGTAAGACGACAGAACAATTCATCAATGAAGCTATCTTTTTGTGACTAAAATTAGTTTTTTTACTTCATCTCCGGAACACAACAAGAAATGAAAAGGACGCAGAAGAAGAGTTAGAAAATATATATTTTTTCAAACAATACAACTCTCAAAAAGAACTATAGAATATGAACTGTAACTCTATCAGAAATCATTTTCAAAAAACGCTGATAGAGTTTAGATCCACTAAATTTGTGTTTTCAAAAAAAGCTGACGCAATTTTGATTTACTGAAGCTGTGGAAAACGTCCGATGAGAACCAATTATTCGGTGGCGATCTCAAACTGAGGACCTCTGAACCTATCGTGTGCGCTACTGGAGAACTGCGGTAGAATAAAGCGTGACATTTTCCAGGAAAGTTACAGAAGATGGTAAAAAAATAAACAAAACGTGTTTAATTTGACCTATTTTTCTGAGCGGGGGCTTTGCAAAACGGTCAGAAATTAATTTTTTTTTGTCAAATGTAAGATTTTAGTTAAATTGGTTGGTTTCAATTTTACAACTTAGAACTCTCGACAAAATCGTTAAAACCCTGTCTCGAAACATATCGCCATCACTTCGTTTATGTCTTGACTAAATTTCCCTACGTGACCTGGCCTATATGATCCGCTCGACACCCTCAAAATATAATAGTTCACCGCTTTTGCCACTTACTCACGGCTACAATCATCTTTTTTGTTACAACAGCTCTCTACTTGTTAGGTTTTAGATAAATCTTGAGCTCCCCATCACTTCTCAACTATGTTTCTTGACCAAATTTTCCTACGTGGCCTGGCCTATATGATCCACTCAACATCCTACGAATCGTCGCAATCAGTTGTTTTTTTTACAAATGCTATGTGTCGCTAGCATTTGTAAAAAAAAAAGCGATTCACAAATTATTCGTTTTTTTTTAAATGCCCCCATGCCGCTATAATCGCATGCATGCGTTCTATGAAAATGGAAGTTTTTTTATGTGTGAGTGAGTGGGGGAAAGACCGGAAAATAGCCTTGCTTCTGTAAAAAACAACTCATTTGTTTGTTGTTTAGGAGGATAGTTTGGCTTTGGAGATAGCCTCAAGACGATGCCTAATTCGTCTCATACTTAACGACTTACAAAAAGCGACCGTTATTTCTGCAGATGACTCTTCACTAATCTACTGCTACTTTCTGAATGACCGCAAAATCATCGATATCTCCGATGAATCTCAAATGAATGAAATCGCGAGAATCCTCACTTCAATTTTGACATCTAAGCTATCTCAGCACTATCACTCGATGCTTCTTAACGACTTGCTGATCATCCACAGGAATGCAAGATTCAATTCAAGCTGAAATGCTTTCGGTCACAAAACTATCTTAGTTATCATTTTAAACGTTTTTATTAAACATGTTTTGATAAACACAAGATTCAATTTTTTGGAATATGTATCTGATTTACTTGAATAGTTTTCAAAAGTCTGCGTTTTTCAAGATTTCAGCAATTTGTTTTCTTATAGCTATCTAAAAAAACACAGATAGCTGTTTTTGTCTCAACAATTTTTTTTCAACTTTTGTCTGTATTTTGCAGTTTTTCTTTTTGGGTATCGAAAATGAAACGAAGCTCTGCTTTGTTTTCTATTTAGAAACAATTCGAGGACAGTGGTGGAAGCAGAGCTTCAATATGAGACCACCCATCTCAAAATTCCATGTGTTTTAAGATTCTACACGCAAAAAAAAAGTTTTTTTTTGGTATAAACAGATCATTTCAGCAGCTTGAATTAATCCGCCGCTCCTAGTTTCGAACCTTCGACTGTTGCGTTTTGTGAACAAATCGTGATCAATGTGTTGGCCACATGGTCTCTTACAGGGAAGAATGACGAAGTGTTTCGCTTTTTGGCCTCCTTGAAGTCTCCTCTCTCCAGACATTTGGAATTGTCTCCATTCTATTCGGACTTTGTCAGGGAAAACTTCGGTGCAGGTAAATCGTTCTCAAGAGACCTCAATGAGTATGGAATTTTTAAGAGATATTTTAAAAAACCTTAAATTTGGTCTACAATTTTTAGAACGAAGTTTTTTCCTGAACTCTCTTGAATAGCCGATATCACAGGCAATTTTTTGAAAAACCGTTTTTGGGCTTTTTTGAGAAATTGTGATGTAAAAAATTGTGTTTTTTTTATGGCGCAACCCTCGCTCTTAGTACTTGCGGATTGTAAATTGTGATGCAATCAAAAAGGAATTGTCATATTGGAACGATCTTACAGAACACTCAAATTTATTGAGCATTCTCGTTAAACTTCAGGCCTTTCGCAGCAGAACCACTTGTTGCGAGCAGTCTTGTGTCAACCATGTAGCTCCAAACGACAGTCTTCCCTCCTTCAACGTACTCTCGAGTCATTCCAGCCAGAAGAACTGACTCAGTCATCTTCCGTGGACAGACTTTGTCAGACAGTGACTTGGCTGTGTCAAATAGTGGACCAACAGGACACTCTATGGACTACTATGCACAAGGCGGCCATAGCCACAGATCGACATTTTCTCCATCTAATTATGGTACAGTGATTTTTATGTCCTAAAATATGCTAAATGTGTATCACTTGTTGAACAAAACAACAATTTACTTCTAGTTTTTTTTTCTTGTTGCTTCGCGCATTTAGGAAGCTGATTTTTGATTGATAACTTATTTATTGTAAAGTGACGTCTATTTTGAAATTTGTGTGGGTACAAACACTTTGTGCTGCTAAAATTGCCTGAAATAAGTACAAATTGGCAAAAAAAAAATCCAGAAAACATTAATCAGTTTAAGATGTACCAAATAGATTATCCGAGCCGTTACCCATACTTGATTAAACTATTTCAATTGGCAATTGATTTGGTTTTGCTGTAAAGATTTTTCGATGAAAAACTTGATGCGAGATCATCTGTATATTTGTGTTCGTTTAATTCGTCTTTTTTTCTCAGGAAACACTTCTGGTGCTTGTACGTGAAAACTTCTTCCACGAGGTTCGTTCAATCCTAGCCAAAGAACGCTTCTCAGATCTGAAGATTCTCCTCTTCCTGATGGCCTGGAAGCACATATCTGGACTGAGCAACTGCAAGTCTTTTCTCACTGCCCTGGATCTGTACCCTCCGAAAGAGGACCCGACCAAAATGAGGTCCAGAGATGATTTCCAGTATCCGCAGTTGAATGCGAGGGCACTGTGTATTAGCAAGCAGGTCCAGTTGATCGAGTGGTGCACCGGATTCAGGTTAAATAGATTATTAATTAATGAAATTAAAGATTAATTTTAAAAGTTATTTGTAGTGAGCATATAATTAATAGCAAGTTTTACAGAGAAAATGCGTTTTTTATTCTGCTATTTTCAATCTATTTAAACAAGCGAAGCGTAGTGTGATAATACGATGCAATTTTTCCAACATAAGTCGTAAATAATAGTGCTACTTATGGTGGCTTATTTGCATCAGAAGGATGCATTGGCATTATTACACAAGCTAAGCTTGTGTGATAGTATGAACTGTCATTTTTTTCCCACCTAAGTCGCAAATATTGTTGCGACAAAATGTGTTCCTTTTGAAAGTGTTCATTTTGATCAATAACCAGCTATTAGGTACAGCCAATGCTAAGGATGCTACAGTTGATTTTTTTCTAATTTATCGATTGAAGCGAAAAAAATCAATTTTTTCATACAAGAACAACAATGAAAACTCCTTCTTAAAATTTGTTCATCTATTTATATTTCGAAAAAATTTTGATACAAAATTTGGCCTTACACTTTCTATTTTATCGCATGCAAAGTTTCTGTGGTTGCCTTTAATTTGTTCCATTTAAAATTATTACGCGAGAAAATAGGTGTTTTTGTGCATTTTAAAGCTCCTGAATCTTTTGCCGCTCTCCGGATCAAGTTTGCGAAGCTGCAGCTTTGCCTCTGTGTTTTAAATAAATTAATAAAAACAACAATTGCTTATTTCTGTGAAGTTTGTAACATTCATATGCAATTCTTATGTACTTAATGGTTTCGAAATCGGCGAGCATACTGAAAGAATATCTTTAAAACGCTTTGACTCAGAGTGAATAGTTTAATCAAAGTGCGAAGGCAGCGATAATCTTGGTAAACCATGTCCATAAATCAAAGTAACTTTGTCGAGGTGGTTTGTGTTTACGCAAGCAAAGCTTGTGTTATAGTATGAACTATCTTTTTTTTCCAACCTAAGTCGCAATTATTGTTGCGACGCAAATATTGTTGCGACAAAAAGTGGTCATTTTAAAAGTGTTCATTTTGATCAACAACCTGCTATTAAGTACATCCAATGCTAGGATATTAACACAGACTATTATTTTACAAATAACACTTAAGCTTCGAATTACAAATAGAACTTTAGCCTGGGCAGGGTCGGATGTTTTTAATGAACTTTTTCGTATACTAGTTAAAATGCGTCCGCTCTACAAATTGAAGCATATCAGTTGGTAATTTTCTTTTTTTTTCAATTAGACTGGTACTGCTTATGCATTATAAATGATTTGCGTCCCTAAGAATTTTTGTATACTCAAAGTCTTACTCATTCCGTTTTTCCCAGTAGCTTAACAATCTCATTTGCAAGAATGCTACAAAATCCTGAAAGGCAAGCATATCTCATCTTTTGGTTTTCCAATTATCTTTCATTACAAGGCCAAACTGTGCACTGGATAGGCGCACAGTTTTGTGTCTGTATCTTCGTGTATTCCAAAGACAAGACTTTAAACCTGTTAAAGTTTTGTCGGATAACGGTCAAATAAAATGAAAGAACAAAAGAAGAACAAAGGGACTGTCCTTGTTGCGGAATCTGCTCACAATTCTCAAAATGCAGAGTTTGGGCTGGTAACGTTGTGAATACGTTTGTTGCTAGGAATGAGAAGCAGTCGTGTGAGTTCCTGTCCACATCTCGCCTGCAGAACTGCACCCCCCTCTACTTGCTCCACTCCCACTCCGACCTCAAACAGATCACCCCCTCTGACGTCATCACTCGGCTGGAGGACCAATACCTCTACAGATCCCACAGTGAGTAGTGGTTTGGTTGTTTCTCTTCTCACACCAAATTAAGAACTAATTAATTTTGTCGATAAGCAAGTTATACCGTCTTAAACTGAATTTGGATGAACATTGGGTTGCGAAGCGCCGATTTACCAAATGCACAGCTACCAAATGGCTACGTATTCACAGATGGCAAAACCGAGATGAATATTTTCTCAAAACTACTGACAGAAAGCTTAATTACCATGTGACGTTCAATGGTCGCTTTTTCTAAGTTCTACGAGTTGTCGATTTCAGCCAATTGTCCCTTTCTGTAAATTTAAAGCTTTCGAAGAGTTTTTCTTGCACATTTTTCAGTCTATAATATAATTTATTTTATTTTCTTTTTGGAATTCATGGCTGCCAAAAGTTCATTAATGAGATATTTTTATTCGATAAGTTTGTGAAACTTTTGAAACCCAGCAGAATTGAAAACAATCGTAACAGTTTTGAAAAATTTTGCTGGCATTCCAAAAATTGCTGTTCCGAAGCATCAAATTATCAAAAGAAAACCGTTTATTTGATAAGATTGTTCGATGGTTATAAAATTTGTATGAAGCTTTAGAATTTGGTTTTCGATAACTTAACTTCTCTGGACTTGTTCAGATCCGAGTCATGACAGTTTTCGCGACGTTCAAACTTACAGGGCCTTCAATGCTCTCAAAAGCGCGATCCAAGCTGTCATTCTCTGTGCAAAACGTCGATCGATGCTGTTAGCCGACAATAAAAACTTTGAGAATAAAACAAACAAACTGTTCAATGATATCAATACGTCAGTCAAAAAGATTGAAGATCCTTTGGCGTTGATAGAAGTACTAGAAAATTTATATTCTCTCATTTTTTTGAAGTATTTTGACTTGGAAAACATTCGGCCAGTTCCCCAAAACCATACTGGAAGCTTTATGGACGGCACTGATACCAAATTTGGCGCTCTAATTCGGTCCATGGAAATTGAGGATTCGTTCAACACGATGAGTCACGAAGGTGATGTATTGGAGGAGAAAGGTCACTCAAACTCGGCTTCTACTCGCGGTGCAGCTAGCTCATTTGCCGCTACGGGTTATCCTGGTAAGTTTTAATCTCGCTTTCAATTATTATCTGTTTGAAGGCAAGATATCTCTAAATTAATTAAGCTCCAGCTATTGATTTCAATCCCCGCTGTCGGCTGCCGTTTTTCATGGATCATTTCTTGTCCCATTTTTTTTCTTGAGTTCTGAAGCTTCAGTCTACTATTTTTTTGCCGGTGTTTTTGGACTGCAACTTCGCATCTGTGTTCATCGTTTAAACAGAATTTGCTTCTATACTACAATCAGATTGGAGATTAATCTTCTTTTTTCTACACTAGAGAGAACTCAAACTGAAGATGGCGAACCCACTAAGGAGTCCTCTCGCTACGTTGTGAACACTTATTTTGTTCATTCAATGCTCAAATTCCTCAAACATAACTGCAAAACTCTCCACGATAAAACCTCACAACTAATGCCTGATAATTTAATCAAGAGGACGGAATTGTTCGAGAATGTTCTGGAAGAAGCGGAGACGAGGTTCAGAATAGTGACAACTGTTGGATTGGAGGAGAAGTTGCCTTCGAGTGGGGAGTGGGGCGACCTAATTTGTAGATATCCAGGTTTGTTTTTGTCGATCCCTTTTACCGAATATATTTCTACCATCATGACTGCCTCTGAAGATCAAATGTGTTTACCGAGTTCAACTAACATAAATAGCAATAGCTGCATCTTTAAAAATTCAGTTTTCGAACTTTGATGATTTCCCTAGTCGATCAAGGGAGGTTATCTTGCAAGATTCTAGCAAAAGAGGGTTATCTTGCAAGATGGAGGTTATCTTGCAAGATAGAGGTTATCTTGCAAGAATATTGGAAGAGTGCGGCTATCTTGCAAGAATCTTGCAAGATAACCATCCCAAAATTTCTGTCGAAAAACACAAAAAAAAATAACAGAAACTAGGTGTAAGATTAATAAAATTGATTCTAGAACGAGAATCCAAAACTTTTTCGAGTTGCTCTGAAAGAAAAATTATTTTTATTTTTTCAAAATTGACAGTTTGAATTGTTAAAAATTGTGCAGAGAGTGCTCCCGATGAATAGTGATCACTATTGTTTCATAGATAAACGCTGATTTATATAAGGCCATCGATAGCTAGAGAAAACTAAAATATAGTTTTTTTTTATTCAGCAATGAGTTAGAAATGTTCCATCGATGAATCAACGCTGGGAAGTTCAGATTTTGTCGTCATTGATTAAAAAAAACATCGATGAAATTTTTGTCAAAATTGATTCTTTTTGCAAATGTGTTTTCAAGATTGTAATAGGCACTTTCTTTAGTTTTTTTTGCTGCGCAGTCAAAACCGTGTGAGGTTTTATTATTGGTACTTCTCTAAAAATTCCAAAAATCAACGCTAGAAAATTCCTAAATAATTTTAAACTATAAATATAGTTCCAACTATAATTATAATCTTATTTTACAATCTCTGAATCATGGATGCATTCTAATGTGTTTTTACTGATTCATCGATAAATAAGGATGCTTAATCACCCCGCGTTATGAAAGTTTACTGAAGAAAATCGTAAGAAAAAACTGCACTTTTAAACTTGCAATATTCACTCAAATAAGTAGTAGCTGCTTGCTACGGTTTACTTTTGGCACGAGTGATATATTGCTCAAGAATCAGCAATTGCCGCTTAACATATCATTACAAGTTGTCGTTTTTTGATTGGTCTTTCAAAAAAAAAATTGATCAAAAATTTGTGCTGGAGTGGTTTTTTATCTTAATATAAACTTCGACTTCTTATCTAGCAGTTTTAATGAAACTTTGTAGTAGTTAGAACATAGTTGAAAGATGCCCGAGGGAAAAGAGCCCGGCCTGAAGAAAATCATCCCAAGTGCGGTTCTTTTGCCCGAGGCCATCTTCAACTATGTTCTAACTGTTGAAGAGTATGTTTTTGCTCTTTCTGAGGGAAAGATGTCGGAAAATTGTGAAAGAGCCCGGAAAATTTTGAAAGAGCCCAGAAAAGTGCGCGAAACTATGCAAATGATTTCTTTTTTCATTCATGCGTTCTAATAATTCATTTTTCGTTCACGCCTTGTCGTAAAAGAACATGTCGTAAGTGAATGAGCAAAAACATACTCTTCTAATAGAATTTGAAATAGATTGATGCCTTGAGCTCAAAACTAAAAGCATTCACTTGTGATCTTTACTTGTGATTTAGGGATTTGAAAATTTCTAACTTAGATCCTTAATGCCCGCTATATAGCGTAAGTGGAGAACTAAATCGGCTCCGCAGTCTTTTCAATTTGAAAAACATATGATAGCTTGACTTACATCAAAATCAAAATCTTCTAGTTTTTCAGGCACACATGGTTTTTGAAAAAAACAAATACGCCGAGGTGGTGAAGTCCTGAGTTCGATTCTGGCCAGAGCTTTTTTATTCAAGAGGAAAGTATTGTTTCGAAAAATTGTCGACCTGTTATATAACTGCTTAGGTATGGTCGGTTTAGTTGCCTTATGTTTGGTCGGCATAGTTGCTGTATTTTTGCTGGGCTGTAATTTTTTTTATTGTAACTGAAAAAGTTTTGATTTGTAACTGTAATTTGTAAATTTACTAAGTTTGTATTTTTTCTCGTTTTTTTTTGATGGTTTATTTGGCCTCATTTTTTTTTGCTTATGATTTATCGAGTATGTGACCTATTTAAGCGTTATTTTAAATGAAAAATAGATTTTAACGCTTTTTTTGTGTTTCCGGCGGGGGGAGAGTAAACATTTAGATTTTTGGACTTTTAAAAAGCTTTTCAGTTGAAAACAATTTTGCTCAACGGGATTCTTACTAACTTTTGCCGGCTGACCTGCCGCTCAATTTTTGTGTCTGAATACCTTTTAAACAGTTATTGTGTTTTTGGACGTGTTTTTGTCAAATTGAACATTATTCCAGACAAATTTCTGAAAATTTTGTAGTTATGGTTTTTTCGAAATGTTCTATTTTTTTCGACTTAGTGGCTTTGTTTCAATTTCTGTCTGCTAGCTTGCAATGCTATGTCTGTTTGGTATCGCAAGTGGTGTGAAGCTCCGCTTCACCTCTGTGTAAATTTATGAAACTTCTTTCTAACTGTAACTGCGGTTCACGGAAAAAGTTTATATGGAGCTCAAAAACTAAAAATACCTTAAAAATTATTAGTTGTTCTCGTTCTAAAGCAGGCCGCTGGCCTAACGGTGACCACTCAAAGCAAAACTATGACAGAAACTAGTCAAATTTTTTGCTCAGACTATTGAAAATGGGGAGAAACTTCGCATTCGTGTTTTAGTTTTCCCATAATCATCGGAATGAGTCGAGTGATATACCATGTTAAAGCTGTCCCAGTCGTCTTTCGAAACTGGTTCAAATTTTCGAGTTTCAGTTCAATTTTGAGCAATTAGGCCCCTCAAAAACTTATTAAAATTGCTGTAAAAAAATTGAAAATGTTTTGAATTATTTTTTTTAAGTAATTTTTTAACTTATAACTGTCGAATATCTCAAGTTTTAGGCTTTCCTTCAGGTCTTTTTCTCAAATTACACAAAAAACGACACCGATTTGAAAAAAAAAAACAAGAAAACCTTTTCCTACTTTTTTATCCTAAAATATGGTCAGAAAATTCTGTGCTATTTGCACAGCAACCGTCTGCCCCTGTTTAACATATAAATTAGCTCCGTGTCTTAAACGAGTTTTATTTCCCCATTATTAGACAAAATCAACACTCGTGACATCGGGGACCTGAGTGAGTTGATCTCCTCTCCCGGTGCCTTTGAGGCCTCCTGTGTGGAACAGATGCTGGGGGACCCAGTGTCCCTTCTGTTCAACTGTCTGTGGAGAAAAGACTTCGAATTGGCAGACAACATCAGACAGAGGTAAGTTCTGGGAACTTCTGGCTCCGACCACTGAAAACGGGCAGTAACTTTATCTTCATGTGTGTCTATGTTTTATCTCCACGCAAAATCAGGTACCACAAATAATCATCGAGTAGGTCGCGTTATACATCATATTAAAGTTGTTCCACCGAATTACTCAAACAAAACTGGAAGAATTCATGAAGTTGTCTCAGTGTTGAGAAAAACCGGTTTGAAATTTTTGGTTTTTAGTCTAACTTTGAACGAATAATGCGACCATGGAGGTATATAATTATAATATTGCATTTTTGAGAAAATTTTGCTAAAAATCTTGAAATTTTGAAACAATTTTTGAATAAGTATTGGATTTTTTTGCTTTTTTACGCTTGCGTTTAACAAGCGTGATATAATCGGAATATAGACCTTTTTCGCTTTAACAATTATTTTACCGAAATCTCTTAAATCATTTCTGCTATCGACATGCTGAAACTCTTGAAAAAAATATAACTACTGGCTGCTAGTAACTCATTATATGTGTATCTAAAGTTCTGATCATTGTATTTATATTTTTAGAATTGCGATATGAATTTTTTCTTGTTGATTTTTCGGCTTTAGTTATTGTTGTCAATTTAATTTCTGCTGATTTATTTTCCCAATAAAGTGAAGCACCTTGCATACACTACATATAGCACTCAGGGATTCTATGAGGGCGGTAGATGGATTTTTTCCCCATAAGATTATGTTGCAAATATCTCTGAGCATTGAATTTTTGAGCATTGAAAATTCGATTGATTTTCAGCTTTTTGGCTGTCTGTTTTTTTGTAGGCTCGTTTAACTTAGTTGGTTAACTAAACAATTCTGGTCTTTTTTTTTGAGATAGGTAAGAATCTGACAAGAAGTTTTCCAATGCTCAAAACTAACCCTCGAAGGACCACTTTAAAATAATTTTATAAACTTATACATGAAAAAAAAATTTAATTTAAATTTTTTTGTTTTAATTTTGTACTTAATTTTTTAATTATAGTTTTTTCAAAATCTTGTGTGGTACTTTTTGAACGTCGTGTTATTTTCATCATATTTTTATTGGTATCGCAAGTGGTGCGAAGCTCAGTTTCGGCTTGGTGTGTAATTATTTTTCGAAGAAAACTGTTGTCCAATATGCATAACTTACTATAATTATCGAGCAGGCCTAATTTATAGAATTTTGGTCAGATCCTCTCATCAAATTTTTTAAATTCTAGTGATCAAAGTTATGGTTATGACCCAAATTGCCAAAAAAATCCAAAAAAGCTTTTAAAAAAATGGCTGGTTTTTATTGGAACTCACACTGCTACTGAAAGACTTTAATACTATAAACTATAACTCGACTCCACTTGACGTTTTTTTGCATGATACCAGGTTTTGCGAGAATAAATAGTTGAAAGCAAAGTTGCTCCACGCTTTTAGTGGTCGAAACAGAAACTGTTTTAGCAGCTTTCTTATGCAACAACAAACTGCTGACTGAAAACAAAATTTCATTATGAAAACTTAGTTTTTCACTTAGTTGTCGAAATTATACAGTTATGAAATGTTCATTGCAGGTACAATATAAGTGTCTCAGAAGTGGAGAAATTTGTGGCCATAGAAGTGGGCTATGACCAACTATGGCGCAAAGTGACAGAGTGTGGGGACAAGGAGGCAGGTGGCGAGGGGGGCAGAGGAGGTGGCGGGGGAGGGGGTGTGAGGAGACAGAGGGGAGGTGCATTCACTATCGCAGAAGAAGATGAAGATAGAGGGGGGAACCATGATGAGGCTGAGGGGCTCGAAATCGTTGACAGTGAGATCCCGATTCTGTTTTTATTTTTTAAATGGAGATACGATCCCTATTTTTTTCTTGTGGCATCAAGGTGAACTCGAATAAATGCAATCTCAAATTTAATCAATAGCAGCTAAAGCGCATTATATGTATTCCAAGCTCTAGCAGCTACCAGTCAAAAGACATGAAGTCTAGGATGAATGGCTGATGGGGGATTGCCGCGATTCTTCCTTCAGGGTTTTGACCGCCTGGGTACGCGAATGAGTCTCCTCGTCAAACCTAAAGTTTTTGCAAAGGCTGCGCCAAACTAAACAAAATCTGTGGAGACCGCGCGACAAAAAAATTCCATCTTTGGTTAAAACTTTCTAAAAATGGGCATAAACTGTCATTTTAGGTATATTTTTAAATTTGCATGCAGCGCAAAACTTTTGCCAAAATGGCATATAATGTTTTGAGAGGAAAACGGAACATAGATTTTGTCGGCCTAAAAACGAGAAAATTGTTCTTACTCGACCGGTTTTTGCGGCCAAACTGATTTTCAACGGATTTTTCAGCCATAAAGCATAGCGTGTTGTTTGCTGAAGCCTTTCTTTTAATGCTTTTCGTTTAGGGTCTGCTTCGTTTCTGCAGCGCCTCACGAGTAAAGCTCAAAGTGGCATTGGGAACATGAACATCCCGCAACTCCTCGAGAACTTCTTCGACTCGTTCAAACTTCCCGACTTCTCCTCAATTCTCAGCCCTGAAGCGCAAACTGCCTTCACCAAATTCATACTACCCTCAAACTACATCGAACTTATGCTTAAATTTGACATAGCTTGTTCATGCCCATTGCCTATTAGCGTTTTGAGAACTATAATTGAAGAGAACTTTGGTCTGGTGAGTTCGTTTCTGGAGGTCAATGAGCCGAAAAGAGAATTGGGCGAAATTGGTGGATTTCAGTATGCGATCGTAACACTGAATGATATGCTGAAAACAGAAGCATGTGAAGAAAGGAACTTCATTAAAATGTTGGCCAGCACAACATTGCCTCTTGCGGCCAGCTCATATGACCAGTATGTTTTGAATCTGTTGAACCGCTGACAACCCCCACCCCCCCCCCCCTCCACCTCTTCTATAAAACCAAAATGCTTTAAAATGAGCCGATGGCTCTGTTCGTTACATGGGGCAGATATTCGTTACTAGGTGCCCTACGGCCGGCAAGTTATTTACAGAAACTCATGTTTTAAATACATTTGAAACTAAAATGCTGACCGTTTGTTCATCTTGGAAATCAAGCTAAATCTAATTTTTTATTCTTTTTTTTTCTCAAGACCGAAACCTTTAATAAATTCGTTACCAAGTATTTTACAATTAGTACACTTGGAAAGACGTCAAAAGGCAGTGAGCCTGTCAAAGATGCCTTAAGAGCAAAGTAAAATTAGTATTTTTTCCGAGTAACGCACGTGTTTACTGAAAAAAAAAGACAGGAAAAAAAACGGTTTGAAAACCTTTTTAGGTGCGTTATGATTTGAATCTACTGTTTTCAAATTTCACCAGAATAACTCACTTAAGATCTTGTTGTGTAGTATGTGCAAATCTCGAGATTTCTGGTTGTCGTAAATTTGAAGAAAATGATTTTCTGTTTGTCGTAGTTTTAAAGCGAGCGGTCCCTCCCTATTCGAGCGAATTTTAAGTATTTATTTTAAGGAATGTTATTGACAAATTGATTATTTGTTGAACATTTTTCCAGGTTTGAAAATCTAATCGAGAGTCAAAAACGAGCTAGAAGAGAATTGATGCGAGTGCTGGAATCTACTCATAAAGACTTAAAAGCCGACGCCTCATCGAGCCAACAGAGATCAGCAACAGCGTTGTCTCAGAGTCAGCGCAGTTTGGGAAAAGGGGGAAAGGGCAGCAAAGGAGCCAAAATTGAGCCAAGCGTGGAAATAGCAGAACAACAAGCAATTGCGAAACGTCTAGAAAAGGAAAATGCCATGAGAGATATATTACATGCGGTTAGTAAAAAGTATTAACAAAAAGGACACATTAGATTTCAATTTTTTTTTCATTGAATCCTTAAATTATTAATAAAAGAAGATAGTTTTCTCTGATATAGAGATTGTATTTTTTCTTCGGTTGTTTTAGGACTGAAATTTTAACTTTGTTTTTTTTTTTTGAAAAAAATTGCCGTTTGATTCATTTACCCCCCCCCCTGCTTACGAAAATCTCAGTTTGATCATACAACCAGTGATTAATGTACTAGGTATGACAAAAAGTTATTGTATAATTTTTTAATCAAACTTGTATTGTATCAAACTTGCACAAATGATCAAATTAGATCTTTAGAAACCCCCTGATATTCTGTTTAACCCTCATTTTTAGGCGATGAAAGATTACCTTCGTGCATTCTCTCAGCCAGACCCCATTCTGAAGGACCTCTACAAATCGTGCACTGAGAAGGAAATAGCCTTCGCCCGCGAACCTCCAAAACGAACATACTTTCTTGACGTTTTCTACGAATACATCAAAAGTTTCGCTCAAAATTTGATCCAACTGGAATCTAATGCCGCGCCTTCGGAGCCTTGGTCATTTAAAACATCGTCCGAAACAAGACTTGCGATCAAAAAATTATCAATTTGCCCTTTTACGTTACTGACCTATAGTCCAACGGAACTGATTTGTGACTTGGTTTTCGAGAAGCAAATTCCGCTGAAGTCGTTAGAAGATCTTTGCGACAAGCTTCATATTAACTTGTCCGAGATCGTCTGCAACCGACTCCTCGTATCTTTGCCATGGCGCTGCCTCACCTTGTCTTACAACACAGATTCAGTGATGTCCTGTTCTCATAAGGTAGTGTGGACCCTTAAAAAGCTTTAAAACAGGATAAATTTGAGTGTTTTTTTTTGTTTTCACGAGGTAAAAAAATAAGTTTCAGGTCTGTTTTTTCCAAGCTTACAGTGTTTTGTTTACGGTTTTTCTAAAATCAATAGCAATATATAAACGTCAGATTGGCCCTTTAATAGGTGGTTAAACCGATGTACGAAAGTTTTGAAAAATTACCTCGGTGTCGAGAAAAACCGATATGAACTTTTAGCTTGCTTATTTTTTTGTCAATAATTACAGAAAAATTTAAAGTGGTTTCTCGGATAATTTGAGCACCATTATAAAATAATTTGATTTGATTCATCAGGCGTTGAATTTGAACCCGATGGCTCCGCCCCTTCCAGACACTATTTCACACTTGAGTAGTCACGTGTCGTCTGACATGACAGGTGAATCTGACGGACAGAAAGTGATGAAAAAGTCTCCCAATGAAGTGCTGGAGGATATTCTGATGAAGTTGATTCTCTTCTTCGACGGTAGGATTTTTGACTTCCAATTTCTTAAAATTTAAAGTTTTGGTCAATTTCTTTCCAGGACTTCACTTTTTTGTAGTGGGATTTTTTCTTTTTCTTTTAACTATCTTTTTTTCTACTTCAGACTGTTGCAACAGTTCCAGTCTGGTCAAGGGTGAAGATCTTCTTATCTTCTGTGATAGTTACGACTTAGAGGCCATCTTAGAAGACACAGCGCAATTGGAGGGACTAGACTTGAAGGAGATCCAAAGTGATGGCAACATGTTTGCATTCTGCTGTAATCTGTACAATCTCATGTTCCTGCATGGAGCTATTTTGGAGGCTAAAGCTCACAAGGTTATATGAACTTTTCGCTGTTTGAAAGCAAAGTTTGTTTTCAATTTCCAGCAAGTCATAATTTTTCTTATAACAGGTTGTCAATTTTATTGACATCAACTTAAACAATCTTGCTTACACAAGCAATGCTTGTGTTATAGTATGAACTATCTTTTTTTTCCAACCTAAATCGCAAATATTGTTGCACGCAAATATTGTTGCGATAAAATGTGTTCATTTTGAAAGTGTTCATTTTGATGAATAACCAGCTATGAAGTACAGCCAATGCTAAGCAGGTTAACACAGACTATTGTATTACAAATAGCACTTTAACACTATGTATTATGGATCTATAGTGTAGAGGTACGGAAGAAGATCCACCTCAAAATAAGAGGGTTTGAACCTGGGTAGGATCGGAAGTTTTTAATGAACTTTTTCGTATACTAGTTAAAGTGCGTCCGCTTTATAAATTGAGGCATATTAGTTGGTAATTTTTTTTCTTCCAAATTGACTGGTACTGCTAATGCGTCATAATTGGCTTGCGCCACTTAGCAATTATGAAGACTCATAATTGGCGTGCGTCACTTAAGAAAATTTGTAGACCCAAAGTTATACTCAGTTTTTCCCAGTAGCGTTATCGGTCATATTTTTGCTTGTGTATGCGAAATACAACTTCGCTTCTGTGTAAAACTATGTGTTTTGACATTTGATATGCAATGAAATGATACAGTTTTTTTCTAATTTATCGATTGAAGCAAAAAAAAAATATTTGTTTCATACAATAGAACAATAATGAAAACTCCTTCATAAAATTTGTTCAGCTCTTTATATTTCGAGAAATTTTTGATACAAAATTTGGCCTTACACTTTCTATTTTATCGCTTGCAAAGTTTCTGTGGTTGCCTTTAATTTATTACATTTAAAATTATTACACGAAAAAATAGGTGTTTTTCTGCATTTTAAAGCTCCTGAATATTTTGCCGCTCTCTCGACCATGTTTGCGAAGCTGCAGCTTTGCCTCTGTGTTTTAAATAAATTGATAAAAACAACAATTGCTTATGTCTGTGAAATTGGTAACATACGTATGCAATTCTTATGTACTTATGAAATTAACCCTATCGGTTGAAAAAACACACTGAAATTATTAAAAATGTAAGTTCTTATGTCAAAAAAAAAACATTCAGCTGGGTTTCAAACCGCCGACCTAATTTCCAGCAGGCGTTTTATCACCAGACTGAATGGGAAGATGCCTGAAGATAATGGTCATTTCAAAATAAAGCAAGAGAGAAATGATGATTTATGGAAAAAGTCGACTCTTGGTCTTTAGAATTCTTGATTGCTAAAGAAAACGCAGCAACAATCCTTCATTTAGTTTTTTTTATGTGATTACTGCTCCATAGACCTTAAAAAGCAATCGGAACATTCAGAGCTTTGCAGAAAATTGGAATTGAAGCATTCTTAAAAAGTTAAATTAAAATCTATGTTATTTGCTTTTGAGGCAAAAATCTCACAAAAAAAATTGCAAAACCAAGTTAAAAATGAAAAAAAAAACACTATCCAAATATTACAAGAATACGACCATCAAGATGTTGAACCTGCTACAAAATTCTGCAAGTGTTACATTTTGCGAGAGGCAACGTAATAAGAGCAAGTTGGTGACTCAGGTCAATTTTGAAAGATTTATTTGGCCGCTTATGCCTCATTAGAACAACCTACATTGCGCGTTAATTATTGTTTCAACTTTCGTAACGAAAAGAACGGAATATTTGTGCTCGGGGTGGGTTTTTTCTTCAGACAATTTCCGACTTTTCAACTAGCCGTTTTTTTTGACGGAGTTATTTTATAACATTCAAAAGGTGTTGTTGTCCTGAGCTTAAATTTGAAAAAATATTTCAGCTGTGATCTTTTTTCGTAAAGTTATGGGGGTTTAAAGATTGCCATTATTGCCAATTTGTGACAATTAACCCGCGATATAATTCGCGCTATTCATGTGTAGGCGGAGATTTAATCCATCTTAAAATTGTTCCAAATTGGCTGAAGGAAGCTTATTTGCCATAATTGATTTGTTACTTGGGGCTAAAGTTATCACTTTGTATTTAATATGGCGTGTGGGGGATGATTTTCACAAAAAATCTCAAATTAACAAAAAAAATTCATTACATTGAATTTTTTCATAAAATTACTGCTCCGAGACTGCTCTATAAATTGAGGCATGTTAGTTGGCAAATTTCTTTTTTGTTCAAATTGACTGGTACTGCTAATGCGTCATAATTGGCGTGCGTCACTTATGAATTTTTGTAGACCCAAAATTTTACTCATTCAGTTTTTCGAAATAGCGTTATCGGTCATATGTTTGCTTGTGTATGCGAAGTGCAACTTCGCCTCTGTGTAAAATCTTGATGTAAGGCAGAGGCCAGTGTAAATAAACTAGCTGAAGTATAAACCAGCCGGGTCTATGGCAGACATACGATATGTCAAACATCCGCTATGTCAAACTATCGAAATTACATAACAATTACGTAGAAAATGATGAAGAATCTCAAACACAAGAGATAACTCATCGAGTACCGCGTAAATATCCGATATGTCAACCAACCGAAAAACCAAAATGTGCTGCTAACATCCTAAAACCAGCTTTACTAGGGCAAGCATCTGATGTTATTGAAAAGTAGGGCAAACATCCGGTTTCTATTGTTTGCTTTAAAATTTTGGCCGATTTTCAAATGATTGGAATTAAACGTATTAACACACAGTTACTTTAGAACTCATTTGTTTCCTTTTTTGGAAACAGCTAAATGGACTCTTTCCTGTTTTGGAAATTCTTACGTCATATTGTTACGTAATTATTATATAAGTTCGGATGTTTGACATAGTGGATGTTTGACATATCGGATGTTTGCACTGGACCCAGTTCATCAGACCATTCTAATTTAACCGATTCCTGTTTTAAATTCGATGGATGTGGCGCGTCATCGCTTCGCGGCGATTATCGACTCTAATTTTCATATAAAGCGCTACCTGCTGTTGGCAAGCTCGCAACGTGTTGACGCGGCTGCTGCGGTCACTATAAACTTTGCCAATATAGCATCTTGTAAGCAAACAGTAGAAATTGGATGTTTGCTCCACTTGTTAAAAATGTTGGATGTTTACCCTAAAAAAGCTGTTTTTCGGATGTTTGCAACAGTTTTTGGCTTTTCGATGCTTGAAATATCGGATGTCTACACGGTACCCAAACCAACTGAACATGAGTAGAGCATCTGCACCAGCCGAAAAGTTGCATAATATGAATGAATTTAGCATAACTTTCGAATCTGTTCCATAATTGTTGCCTAATTATCATATACGACCATCAAGATGTTGAACCTGCTACAAAATTCTGCAAGTGTTACATTTTGCGAGAGGCAACGTAATAAGAGCAAGTTGGTGACTCAGGTCAATTTTGAAAGATTTATTTGGCCGCTTATGCCTCATTAGAACAACCTACATTGCGCGTTAATTATTGTTTCAACTTTCGTAACGAAAAGAACGGAATATTTGTGCTCGGGGTGGGTTTTTTCTTCAGACAATTTCCGACTTTTCAACTAGCCGTTTTTTTTGACGGAGTTATTTTATAACATTCAAAAGGTGTTGTTGTCCTGAGCTTAAATTTGAAAAAATATTTCAGCTGTGATCTTTTTTCGTAAAGTTATGGGGGTTTAAAGATTGCCATTATTGCCAATTTGTGACAATTAACCCGCGATATAATTCGCGCTATTCATGTGTAGGCGGAGATTTAATCCATCTTAAAATTGTTCCAAATTGGCTGAAGGAAGCTTATTTGCCATAATTGATTTGTTACTTGGGGCTAAAGTTATCACTTTGTATTTAATATGGCGTGTGGGGGATGATTTTCACAAAAAATCTCAAATTAACAAAAAAAATTCATTACATTGAATTTTTTCATAAAATTACTGCTCCGAGACTGCTCTATAAATTGAGGCATGTTAGTTGGCAAATTTCTTTTTTGTTCAAATTGACTGGTACTGCTAATGCGTCATAATTGGCGTGCGTCACTTATGAATTTTTGTAGACCCAAAATTTTACTCATTCAGTTTTTCGAAATAGCGTTATCGGTCATATGTTTGCTTGTGTATGCGAAGTGCAACTTCGCCTCTGTGTAAAATCTTGATGTAAGGCAGAGGCCAGTGTAAATAAACTAGCTGAAGTATAAACCAGCCGGGTCTATGGCAGACATACGATATGTCAAACATCCGCTATGTCAAACTATCGAAATTACATAACAATTACGTAGAAAATGATGAAGAATCTCAAACACAAGAGATAACTCATCGAGTACCGCGTAAATATCCGATATGTCAACCAACCGAAAAACCAAAATGTGCTGCTAACATCCTAAAACCAGCTTTACTAGGGCAAGCATCTGATGTTATTGAAAAGTAGGGCAAACATCCGGTTTCTATTGTTTGCTTTAAAATTTTGGCCGATTTTCAAATGATTGGAATTAAACGTATTAACACACAGTTACTTTAGAACTCATTTGTTTCCTTTTTTGGAAACAGCTAAATGGACTCTTTCCTGTTTTGGAAATTCTTACGTCATATTGTTACGTAATTATTATATAAGTTCGGATGTTTGACATAGTGGATGTTTGACATATCGGATGTTTGCACTGGACCCAGTTCATCAGACCATTCTAATTTAACCGATTCCTGTTTTAAATTCGATGGATGTGGCGCGTCATCGCTTCGCGGCGATTATCGACTCTAATTTTCATATAAAGCGCTACCTGCTGTTGGCAAGCTCGCAACGTGTTGACGCGGCTGCTGCGGTCACTATAAACTTTGCCAATATAGCATCTTGTAAGCAAACAGTAGAAATTGGATGTTTGCTCCACTTGTTAAAAATGTTGGATGTTTACCCTAAAAAAGCTGTTTTTCGGATGTTTGCAACAGTTTTTGGCTTTTCGATGCTTGAAATATCGGATGTCTACACGGTACCCAAACCAACTGAACATGAGTAGAGCATCTGCACCAGCCGAAAAGTTGCATAATATGAATGAATTTAGCATAACTTTCGAATCTGTTCCATAATTGTTGCCTAATTATCATATAACACTTATATATTTGATGTTTGACTGGTTGATAATTTGACTGGTTGATACTTCGGCTGGCTTACATACCACTGGCATAAGCATTGTACACTAAAGGCACCCTTCCTTCTCCGCAATTTTTTTAAACATCATTATTGCAAAGAATGGATTTGTTTTGTTTGTAACTGTACAAGTTACTCTTATAATGGTCTTGGTTATTTTTTGTTCGGTTTTTTTTTCAGGAAAAAATGTTGAATTTTGACTTCCTTCATTCAGACTCGAATTTAGTGGACTCTCCAATTTTGCGGAATCTGTAATTCATCGATGATCGATTTTATACTTGAAAGTATATAACCGATTGATTGAAATGTTTTTTTTTCGAGGTCTCGGAAACTCAATGTGAAACAAGAAGCATTTGATTATTTCCGAAAAGAGTTGTGATATAAATTTTTCGATTCTCTGAACTTTTTTTTTGATAACAATTGATTTTTGGCAACAAATTTTTGATTACTTTTTTTTCATGATTTTCCATGCGATAAGCAGGAGTGTTGCAACTGGGAACTAGAATTTTTCACTTAAATAATTTTGTTCACAGGATAACCTAAACTGGTGATTATTCCCTCCTCTTCTTTTTTTTAACTAACAGATACATTTGTTCATATCTGCCTTTTCAATGCCCGTTCTTTTGGAAATTGTTTGAATAAATTTGATTTAACATTTGCCTTCTATGTTTTTGTTGTATCGCAAATATTACAAAATTTTTGCGTCGCTTTCTGTACATTTTTTTCTAAAGAATTGCAAAACGCACTAGTTTAGAAGTAGCCTAATATGATATTTCAAAGCAACAGGCAACTACTGGATTACAATTGCTTCGCAGTTTTCAGACTTTATTTAGCGTCAGGTCAGCTTACTTAATGACCGGTTTTTCTATAATAGTTCCGATCATTGAAAATAGGGAGGAATGTGTATTCGAGTGTGTTTGTTTGTTTTCCACTCAAAATCAGGTACCACAAATAATCATCGGACTTGATCGAGTGATGTATCATATTAATGCCTTTTCAATCGTGATTCGAAGAACACCAAACAACTAGTTTTGGACGCGCCATTTCGCGTTTTTATGGCACAAAACTTTCAAAAAATTGAAAACTTCAAACAAAATTTTTTTTTTTTAATTTTTTCCATTTTTTTGAAGACAATTGTTGTCGCTCATGCCTAATTTACTAATTTGATATGCGTTCTTATTGTTCTATGAACTCACGACGCACAAGAAAAGACACTAATTTGAAGAAAAAAATCTGATGATATGGTCGGAATATTCTGTTCTGCTTGCACAGCAACCCGCAATCCTTGTTTATTACACTTGCGATCAGCTTAGTGTATTATTATGAACCTTCTTTTTTATTAACCTAACTCGCAAAAAAGTGTTCAGTAAAAGTGTTCACTTATTTGGAAATTTCACTGTAGCCTTGGAAATTGCATAGCATCTGTTCTCTGCTTTATTTGTTGCTAGTGTTTGGTACCTATCAAGGTTCCGTGGGTGAGTGGTAAATGTGGGAGACTCTTTTTCTATTGGTTGCAGGTTCGAATCTCAGAGGTAACAGAGTTTCACTAAGTTAGGTTTATTTCTAATTTTTATCATTGCAGTTTATAGAGCTACTTTTTGTCGTGTTCTCGCAAGTGTTTGCGAAGCGTATCTTTGCCTTTGTGTGTAATCTATTTCTGCAATTCAGCTAGTTATTTGTTTACTAAACTTTTGTCCACTTTTTATTGGAAAGTGCAGTATTATATCCTTGTAGAGATACTTTTTTATATTTTTATCTGAGCTTCGGCGCACTCATTTCATTTTAGAAAAAATATTTAACTTGCACGTTTAAAAATTATATTTACGCTTGCCACTAGCAAGCATTATCAAAAAGGTTAAAAAATTGGTTTCTGACTTTTTTTGTGTTTTAGTTTTTAAAAGACAACATGGGTCTCACTTGTCTAATTGGTGGATCGCCTCTGGAAAAACTGGCCTTCCAGCTTCGCTTATCTTACACTGTGGGGGACTGCAAAAACATAACTCTTTGGCAATTGCGTAACTGCATATTACGTCATAACAAAAAACCTATCGGCCAAGTGCACTTCGGTCAAGCGTTCTATGAAGTGCTGAAGTCGCAGGCGAAATTACTGACTGAGTTCGCTTCGTTTGATTTCTCGAAATTTGACGAGACGTTTTTGCTAATTGACGGAACTGTGTCTTCCCCTGTTTTGCAGGTACGTCACTCAAGATGTAATCAATAAGCACTCATCCTATGTTAGATGACGGGTAATCTTCTCTCCTTAGAAGATTCAGGACTAACCCAACTAAAAAGGGCATGCAGTTTTTGAGCATATCATCGTCAGATAAAGTTTTTCCATGAAAGTTTATAAAATGGCTAAAAATGTTTTTTTTTGCTTTTTTACCTGCCCAAATCAAAATTTTTGTTCTAGAAACAAACAGAAAATTTTTTCATTCGGTAATTTTTATGATTTTTTTCTGTTTTTGTAATGGTTTTATTTGCATTAGGTTATGCAATACGTGATTAATTTATTTTTAATATGGTTGTTTTGTTCAAGGTGATAAAAGGAATGTCAATTGAGAGTCAGATGGAAGAAGGTGAAAGTCATTGGATCCAGAACCAGGTCAAGATCACCAAAACAGGCCTCACAACTCCACAGCTACTGCACGAGTTTCTTTTCGATAAATACGAAGCCGATTTCATTACCCAAAATGGGGCCAAAAATAACAATTTATCCTCAAATTGGCCTGTTTTGCTCAAGTTTTTACCGAAATATCTCGACGATGATGATGCTAAAAGCTTACAAGAAATTTACTCTAAAGGATTCTTGAATGTCCACGTTTTAAATAACGAAGAAGAAAACAAAGTTTTTGAAGTTCAGTATGATTTCAATACTGTCGCTGACTTCTCTAATTTCGAAACGATTACTGCAAATTCTTTAAACGAACCCGGGTTTGTTGACGGTATGTTAGCCTGTGAGAAAACGGACCGAATCTCGTGCCGAACATACCCCTTGCACAGCGCGACTGGAATTAAGCAGTTTTTACATAGTAAAAACCCACTACAAGCTACTTTGATTGAGCTTATACATCAAGTAACGGATACTTGTAACGAGTCGTATGAAATTGCCGACGATAAGAAACGAGACCGATCTATCTCCATGAGTTCTCGGAAATTAACCTTTACTTTAACAGCCGGAGCCAATTCGCCAAACTCTATTAATCGGGACTCAACCCTTGACCATCTCAAATTGATTCGAGATACTGTGTCTTCGAAATTTTCTTTTAACTACCCAGCCTTGAAAACTTGGTCGAAGAAAATTTTAAAACCTTTCGAAGAATTTTACAATTCTACGGATGCCGGTTTCGGAAAGCATGAAAATTATTTGTCCCTTTTAAATGAACACGGGCTTATAAGCGGCGCTAAATGTCCAAAAGTTGTCAAAAAATGCTTAGCGTATTTGGAACAAATTTTAAAAAGCGATGCTCCAGTTTTTGAGTTATGTCCCAAAATCGAGCTGCTGTTGTCGTTGTTGGCTCAAGAACCTGTAAATTTGAGCCGATTTCAACCCCTGTTCGATTTAATAGCTTGCGTTCAATCTTCTGCGGACCCGGAAAAGATTTACAAGATTAAAAACCCGACTACTAGAGCTTTGTTTCTCACTGAAAATGTCCAAAAGTTCAAAATCAACAATGCTGTGGCCATTTTGAACTGCATTAATCGAGATAAAAATATCGAAAGTGGAAAATTGAAACAAACTGTTTCATTTCTCTTCAAAAAAGTGTCGCTTTTGGAAAAAGTAAGAGTTGGAATTTTTCTATAAGTTTTGTTTTGTTTTTACTTTACTAAACTAATCTAACTTTTTTTCTTGTTTTAGATTTTGTCAATTTTCCCTGACGAAAGTGTTGATACCACAGCATTGGAATGGAAGTATGCGCAATCTAAGTTCGACGAGGGTTCTCATAAAGACATCATTGACAAACTTTGTGTCGAGAAGTCAAAGTTCACAGTATGTTTTCTCGAAACCCTGTCTTCTGTTTTTTATCGATTAAAAATTTTCTAAAACATACAAAATTTTAGCTTGCGATGAAATGGATTGCTCTGAATCCGAGCGTTCCGATTGAAGTTCAGCAAAAAGCCGAGTTCATGTCGCTGCAAAACTCTTCGCGACACGGAGAGGTCTTCAAGCTTATTTCACACCTTTGCTCTTTCAAGTTCCCGAAGGCAAACATTTTCAGCATTTCCCAACAAATGATCCAAACATGCGATACAACCTCAGCAACAATAATTGTCAGCTTCCTATTGGCAAAAAATTTGACTTGTGAAAATACAATGTGGACGTTTTCAGAGGAGGAGCTTTCAATTCTAAGAAATCAGTACCTGTCTTTGATTATAATCAGCCAAATTACTGACAATGTCCGAGAAAAATACTTGCATATAATCAAATCTCCAGTTCTTGTTATGCACCAAATGTTGATGAATTGTGAAATTCAGGCTCTTAAGTTGGGCTTCGATAAGTTGGAAGTTATTTACGAATCCGAAACTTTAATGGAATCCAGGCTTCTTACCCGAAGTTTCATGGTTAGCTATTCGATTGAAAGTCTCCAAGAGCAAATTCCTCGATATGCTAAACTTGCGGTGAAAACTGAGAACTTCATTTTGGCGAGAAATCAAATTTTGAAACCAAAGTTAATCAAATTAGGCGATGACGTATCTGAATCGGTTACTAATATCGATAACCAATCACTTACTGCGAGCATGATGGGTGACGATAAAGCAAGTTTAGCAGGGGGAAGTTCAATTGCTGTAAATGCTCTCTTAGCCGACGACGGTCCCAAGAGTAATGCCAATGACTCGAAGTGTTATATTTGTAACACTGTTTTTGGCTATTTGATGCAGCGCAAAAATAAATGCAAAATTTGTCAGCGATTTGCTTGTAGCAGGTTAGAACTTCTTTTTATGAGTTACTAAGTACCTTCTTCAAAAAATTGCGATATTTTTGTGCGCAAGTTAGACTAAAATTTCACTCAACTGACAAAAAATTGATGAAAAAGTCAAATTTTTTATTGAAGCTTAAAGAAATAAAATTAGCTTGTCAAGATTGGAATTTAATGATCGGAAGATTCTGTCCATTTTATGGGTTATTTTTTTCAGATGTGGGGAGTCTGTGGAAGTTAAGGGATCCTACATTTGGCAATGTGAGAACTGCAAGCAGAAAGGAGGCCAAGCAGAACCATCGAAAGACGACAAAAGAGTTGCAGAGAAAAAGAAACGGTTGTTCGAAACTAACATCTTCGATGGAACGCAGGTAATTATGAACTGATTTAAAGCGAACTCCAATTTTCCAAATTTCGGCGATGACCGAATGGCCATTAGCCACGAGATTATATTAGCCAATGAGAGTTTAGCATTCAAAATTTTGAAAGAAACAAGTGTCAATATCAGTCAATTCTGGGCAGTTAAGAAAATCTTCTGGCGGTCTTGGCTTGAGAATAGCCCCGTTCCGAGGTAATTAGCATTGCCGCACGGAATGAGCTTTGAAACCATCAGCATACTGTTATGAATGTGATTGTTTGGTTGTCAGGTCATCGGTGATAGATATCAATGCTGTGGAGTGCGTAGAAATTTTTTGACGACCTTTTCTTAGGCCGACTAATTTGTTTTTCGAGCTCGACGAAAAAAAATAAGGACCCTTTTTTGACGAAATAATTTGGCTCTGCAGGCAAATTTTTTGAAAAACCGGCTAAATACGACGCTTTGAGCACTTTTCAGAAAAATTTGACGAAAAAATTGTTTTTTTTTCGGCGCGCGCTCTCCCCTCAAATTTAGTTATATTGCCACCATTTTTGAGGTTGGACAGCATAAAAAGGAATGTCGAAAAGTTATACCCATAGGGAGGGACCATTTGGCTACGCTGGGAATCGAAACACCAACATCTTGCTTACAGTGTTAGCTCACTTATTTTTCTCTTTTTTTTAACAGACTGCTATGACTCCACTGTGGAAACTTCCAAAGGAACTGGAAGATGCCCATGACGTCATCGAGGAGTTCTTCTACTCCAACGCGCCTTCCCTGCCTCTACTTGACAGCATTTTGGACCTTCATTTTGACCAAATAGAAGTTGTCCAGCTACTGTGTGATCAAGTGGCTGTGTTTTCCTCGCAACTCGTCGAAACTTTTAACCGATCGAAAGGGAGATCGGCGTCTCATTTGGACGGCAAGTTGATCCTGTTTGAGCAGACGCTGATTTCGAGGTATAACAGAACTTTGCATTTATTTTCCTCGGATCCACCTTTTTCCCCGAATTTTAAAATATTTTTAAATGATTTTAGCTTGATTTCGCTAGAATCAAGTATTGAGTCAAGTGAGCACGTCAAACATCCCAATATTACAATTTGATTATGTGAGCGGAAATCCGAATTAAAGAGCGTGCGTGTGTGTATCTATGTGTGCAAGTGTGTGTGTGTGTGTGTGTGTGTGTGTATCTGGTGGAATCCATCATACGCGAAGGAACGAATGCGCGAAAATAAAAATCAGCCCATCAAATTTCAATAATCTAAAATGTGGAAAGAAAGTAAACATTTCCAGGGGACTGAATATTGATATTGGCCGAATATAAAAGCGGCAGAAATATGCAAAATTTTCAAATTGTCACTGACCGCCGCCGAATTGGAACAAATTTTATATTTCAAGGGTTTCGTTATGAAAAAAGCAAAATATTGCTTCATTTAATTCATTTTAATTGAATGGCAATTGCCTCTTTTAAAAAATTGACTTTCGGCTAATTTTGTTTTCGGTCTTTCGCTCACGAGTTTTTTCGCCCATTCGGTGCTTCGCGCATGAGAATAGCCCCCTGTGTATGTGTGTGTGTGTGTGTGTGTGTGTGTGTGGGGGGGGGGGGGGGGGGGAGTGTCAGTGATTGTGTTCTAGATTTGATTGAAAGCAAAAAATAGCTTTGGGCGATCATAAAGTTGTTGTTTCTAATTGTTCTGAAACCTGATTCTTTGTTTTGTTCTGACCATTAGAAAAATGTGGAGGATTTTTGTATTCGGTTGTTTTCGTTTTTTTTCACGTAAAATCATGCACCACAGATAATCATTTGAATGGGTCGAGTGATATACCAAAATGTGATTCGAACGACATTAAAAATGTTTCAAAAAATGTTCTTGGTATTGAGAAAAACTGGTTTAAAATTTCTCGATTTTTATTTCAATTTTTATTTCGAGAAAAACTCGATTTTTATTTCAATTTTGAGCGAATAAAGCGGGCGAGCAGACCTCTAACAACTAATTTGTTTTTAACTTAAGCCCTGAAACCTTAGTTTTTGGGCAAGTAACATTAGTTTTTAGGCGCCATTTTGGGAATCAATAAAATCAAAAATTTTCTGCAAAAGTACAATTTTTTGTAGTTTTTTTAAAAACTATAGTCGGAACATTCTGTGCTATTTGCACAATAACCGGCTATCCTTGTTTCGATTTCCAAATAGTCGAAAATTTTCTAATCTTTGTTTCGATTTCACAATAACCGCAATAACCGATTTCACAATAACCGCAATTTTTTCACAATAACCGGCTATCCTTGTTTCGATTTCCAAATAGTCGAAAATTTTCTAATTTTCTAATAGTCGAATCTTTAATTCTTCTCAATGATCGATGATAAGTCGTTTTTAGCCTGATGAAGAAATTATTAGAAGGTGCAGAATTGAGACTGAAAAATGCAAGTGAGGATGAAAATTGCGAGGTTCGAAGACCCTCTTTCACTCAAAATTCATCCGGAGGAGGGCCCAGTCGGGTGAAAAAAGGTCAGAAATACATTGCGGAGTGTTAAAAAAACAGAGTTTTTCTACAATGAATACGATTTAAAATAGTCGAAGAGAATGGAAATCAAAATTGGAACCTAAAATTTAAACGGAGGTTCTTCCAACCTGCTCCATTCCATTTGAACATGTGAATAAAGGAAATCGAAACCTCTAAAAGTGAATGAAAATTGAACTGTAATAAAACGTAAACTTGTATTTTTGGGCCGTTAGTCTTAGATAAAAGCATATACAGTCAATTCATTCCATTTCGAACTCTTCACAAAAGTAATTGAACAATCTTCACACTTGTTTGTTTTCTGGGGATTCCATTGTCATACTTGTTCCCGATGTCTGCAATAGGTTCAGTTGGCCGACGACAGTCGAGTGTGAGTTTGACCACTATCAATTTCCCAGATGCGGAGAAAAGAGTCCTCGAGCTGAAGTGTGCAGTAGAAGTGTTGGACATGCTGATTGAAATAAAGTTTGACCCCCTTCCGGATGTAAACAAGATGCTGGCACCGAACTACTCCAGGTAAGCCAAGATAATTATGCTGGCCTAGTAAAGAATCTTGAGGATCCATATCACTACCCTACTGCAGTGGTGTAATGCAAATGGCAGGGTGCCTGTTTTCTCGGTAGCCGTATCGGTGAAATTCTCATCGTAGCGATGAGAGTTGACATCACTCTTTTAAGTAGCGATGGTCCTGCTGATATCGGTATGCGGAGGTTTTCCTCTCAAGCCCTCCAGGTTAGAATTTGGGTTATTGATCCGAGCACTCTGAGGACTACTGATTGATTGTATAGACCTGACCAAAAATTCGGGAAAAAAGACATTAAAAATTTCCTCATGTTTGACGACATCATGTGCTACATTTTCTTGCCATCGCTCATGCGTTTTTTGTGCCAGTTTAATAGCAAATCCCCATAGTTCTTTCTGAGATTGTTCAATCTTGGTTTTTGTGAAAACTTACTGTTGGTCAGGGGCTGATTTATCGGGGGGGGGGGGGGGGTTGCGGACGCCCTTCCTCGGATTCGACCCCCTGCCGACCCAAAGGGTCCCCCTTTGATACTTTTTCAGAAATCCATTTTTGGCCGACCGACCTTAAAATTTTTCTAAAGTCGCCTTCGGCGCAAATATATACTAACTTTGAGGGGGAGCGCGCGCCAAAAAAAAACGCGATTTTTTTTGTCAAAATTTTTCAAAAAGTGCCCGAAAACGGCTTTTTTGACTGTTTTTTCAAAAATTTGCCTGCGGCACAGAAAATTTTGCCAAAATAAGGGCAAAGCAGTGCTCTGGGAGAGCTCGAAAAATCAATTTGGTCGACCTAAAAAAAAAAAAAGGACGTCAAAATTTTGGAAATTTTTTTGAAAATCCGCCCCCCCCCCCCCCTCGAGAAAATCCTAGATCCGCCCCTGCTGTTGGTCAATCCATTATCAGCAATGATAAACTTGTAACTTATTTTCCGTTCCGCGGTCAGTTTGGTATCTCCAATACTTAAGGTTAGTGTAAGAGGAAGTATGATTTATCCGAATATAGCCCTTATGGTTCCTGCGAATCGCAGAGGAGCTATCATTAGGCCATAACATTCATGTCGAGGATAGTCCATTTGTATTATCTCCCCACATTCCAGACTGGTATTTTGTTGAGCGAAGCTCTTTTTTGCGACTCAAGGCCGTTTTTTATGCGTCTAGAACTTCACGTGGTACCATTATTGCAGCCGAAATTGGTCAGGCTGTGGTAGAGCTGAAGCTAGAGGTCACGTGAGAGCTCGTCCTCGCACACTATCATTGCCATGGCATGGGATCCAATACACGATCTGACGATTTTAAAGTGAACGCCTTGCCACTTTGCTAAGTGCCTCAACTATGAAGGCCACTATAGAGTAGTGCCTAAATTGCAAGAAGTCATTTAGGCTGGAGCAGTTGTGAGTCCTGCCAAAAACCTAATTCCATTGAAACGTCACTAAATCCTAAGGCTAATAAAACTGCTCGTACCGTATCAGAGCAAAGCCCTGAATATTCCGACTGCCCTTTAATTGGTCTCGAATAGTTTTTGGTAAATTAAATATTCGCAAGCTATTTATCTTAGACTGATTATTGATTTTTAAAATTTGGATCGTGTATGGCAATAATAAAACCGGTTTTAGCATATTGCCTCAATTCAGTTTGGGACGATTTTGTAGCGCGGTTTAAATTGCCACGTGTAAAGAATAAAACGAAAGTTTAGACAACCTCGTCGCAGGATACTATATCGGTGTGCACATCTGGCTGGGCTCATGTTGGTCAAAGAATCGATACCCCGAGGAAGCGAAATATTTTGGTAAATTGGTCTAAAAAAACACCCCGAGCTGTAAAAATGCAAGAAAAATGTTTTGCGGGAAAAAAGTCCAGTTCCCGATTACAAGACACTTGCTTTCGCAGTAAGTGTAAACAGTAGTATGAGCACAACCAAATAATTTCATTGACGTTTGTGTCTAGGCGCGGAGTTTTGTATTTTTTAACATTTTTTTGGGTTCTTAGACAAACAATTGCTGTTTTATTTTTTTTGGTTCGATTTTTGATCATATAAACAACAGAACAATATATCTGATTTTATTATGACCAGAGAAATATCCGAACAAAACCTCTGATTTTGTTCTGATCAGAGAACTATCTGAACAAAACCTCTGATTTTATTTTGATCAGAAAAATAGCAGAATAAAAACAGAACTGTAACAGTACTGATTCAGTACTGTTACAATACTGCGGTTTTTTCTTTTTTATCTCTGATCAGAGATAATTTGCCACTTGGCAGAATCTGATACAGAACTGATTTTTTTCTATTACTTTTCTGGAGAAGTACTGATTTTTCCCTGTGACTTCAACCCGGGTTGTCCGAGTTACGTATTCAACATTTTTGTGCATTTACTCTTTTGTGAAAAATAAGTTTCATGTCATTGCACATTTTATGCTTATATAATTTTAGAACAGAAAAACATTGTTTAATGAATTTCACTGAGAAATTTCATGTCAGGGAACTAATTGATAATCAGAATCAACAGCTAAGACTTCAGTTGTTGTTAGGCAAACATTTTCGGTAGTCTATACAAGTATGCCCTCAATTTTGGGCTCAGAAAGGGCGATAATTGTTAGTATTAATGGAATACTTTAGGTTTAATCAAACATTTTCGGTTTGCATATTCCATCGATACTTTGGGGCAGATATTTCTACGCTGCAGAGAAGCTGCGAACAATTGGGCCAAAATGTGTCTTTTTAAGCTCTGTTCAGATGTTTTTATTGCAAATAAAAATGTTCATTAAAAGTGTTTACGTATTTGGTGAGACTTTTGCTATTAGCACGATTCGGCTTGTGCCAGTGTATCTTATTCCCCTCTCACTAGATCCACATCTGATGTTTTATCTCTTTGTTTTTAACGTTTTTGAAGCGAGCTCATCAGCAGTCTGTTGCGCCGTGACGAGTTCAAGACTGCCCTGGATATCTGCCAGAGGATAGGCTGTGAGGCCCGTTCAGTGCACCGGTCGCTGGGACTGGCAGCTATGAGGAACGGGTCCCTGATAGAAGCCAGGACTTGTTTCAAGAAATGTCTAGAACAAGTTAGTATTTCTACAATCAATCAGCTTTAATATTTTTTATGTATTCTATTTTGTTGTGTTCGTTAAAAATAGCAAAAAAAATTTCTATTTGAATTTTCAGATAACTCATTTTGATTTTGTATGACAATGAGTCTTGATAACCGTTTAATCTTTTTGGGATTGTGACATTTGAAGAGAACATTCAAAAAATGCTGTTAAGGGCGTTTTTCAAACTAATGTTGATTCGTTTCGTGGGTGCAACCTGCTCGTGAATTTAATAATTATTGGTGTTGAAAGCGGCTTTAAAACGCTTCAGAACCGGTCTGCGAAAAATGGTGGTAAGCAAAATGAAAAAGGAGGCGAAGAGTACCCCTAAACCCGCCCAATTGCTTGATGACGATTTTAAGATTGATAGAGATTATGTTTTAGATCTAATTTCATATATTTTATTAGATTTTAATTTCTTAATTTAAGAATAGATTTTAAGATTTTGATTAACACGATTTATTGATTGAGTGTTTTTTCCAGAAGCAGTCTGTGAAAAATGAGTCACTGGTTGATGAGATTGTGTGTCTGATTGAGTCCAGTTGCGTGCCGCCGCCTCCCTTCACATTCGGATCCGTGAGTCACAGTTTTTATCTCTGGCATCCTCCCCTCCCCTCCTCCTATTGGTTTGGCTATTGAAACAAGATTTCTGCAAAAAAAAAGTATAGAATAACTAATTGATAGAAGCCGGTTACAGAATAGCCGGTTGCTGTGCACGTAGCACAGATTGTTCCGACCACATTCATTAAAAATTCAAAAAAAAAGTTTTTGTTTCTATTTTTTCTTCAATGTGAGAGAACTATACAAGCGCGTATAAAATTAACGAATCAGGCGAAATTGAGAACCGATATCTTCAAAAAAAACGTGAGAAAAATTTTCGAAAAACTTCTAATTTGTTTCTATTCTTTTGCATAGCATTTTAATGTTTTTAAGAAAACTTTTTCTTGCCAAGTTTTTTTTCAGTAAAATCATTTTTTTAAGCTTAATTGGCCAATTTCTATCAATTTTTATAAAACGAACTGTTCAAGCCAGTTTTCTCGACACCGAGACAATGGTTTGAATTTTTTAATGTTATTCGAAATACGACTGAAAGGGCTTTAATATGTTCTATCAACCTATTCCGATGATCATTTGCGGTACCTGATTTTGCTTGTAAATCAAAAACAAAGAAAAAACTAAAACACGCCCGACTAACAAGTTCCTGTCCATTTTCAATAGTCGGAACAAAAATGCATTAACAGAACTGTCAAGCCTTTTAGATTTAAAAAATGCGGCGTTCTGATGGTTTGAAGAAAGTTGTCCAGTGCTTGGTCGTTCGGAAGTCGCGACCGCATTTCGACTATTATTTTTCCTTAATCAGCATTTTTTGTTTGTAGTTCGAGAACTTCTTTGATCACATGGACGAGGAGCTGATTTCTGATGTGAGTTCAATTAAAAATTGTTAACATTAATTAGCGAGCAAAATCCCTTTGAAATATTTGCTGAACAAATTATCAGATAATTTTACCTTTTTTTTGTATTTGACCACTGATTATATTATTTAGAAACCGCTGATTATGAGCAAATGTGAAAAACGCGTTGAATGCGTGTACTACATTAAAAACTTCCTCCCCCCTCGATCGCTGGTTTCATTCTACACTCTTAGACGCGACTTGAGATCCGCAGTTGACACATTTGTCCAAGATGACCAAAATATCCTAACGGCTGAACACTTTTCAAGTGCCCTGTTCAAAACGGTCATTGACCTTGGAGAAAAGGATGATGGAACTCTGTATGTGGAGGAGTTGCTGCGTGAAATGAAGAGCAAAGAGACATCTGTTCACACGTGGAGAAAGTTTTTGGTGCCTATTGGTGTGAGCGGCGGAGTTTATAGCAGCAGGGTCCTATATCAAGTGCACGTCTTTCTGCAGGTGGGCTATTGTTGTAGATTCGGTAAGTGTTTTAGATGCAGCCAAGGATCTGATAGTTTCATCCAGGGGTAGTTTCAGCGCCGAGGGTAGTTTCGGGGGCGGATTTAGGGGGGTCCCCCCTTTGTTCTATTTTGAGTGTGATAACTGTTGGATTTACTCAAGTACTTGTAAAACAGAATAAGTAAAACGTGTTAATTTAGACTGCTAACTTGTCTTATTTTAGATCTGAGATCATGCTTGTCTTTTCATGTCTCTATCTCAACAGCAATGTCCTAAATGACTATTGCGCTTGGCCTGCATGAACGGCCTTGAATAGTAATAACAATACATAACAGAATAATTAATAGCACTATTCTCAGAGGTTACTGTGGCAGCAGTACTACACGGTACCACATTCCCCTGACGACAACAAAATTTTATATAATACTTTATGAAATTTTATAAATAATACGAGTTGTTCAAAGTTTACAGAAAATTGTTCTCCTTTTCCTTAGTCTTTTGTTATTTTCTTTAAAACTTCTTCTTTGTTTCTTGCGACGTTCCATGATCCCGCCTCGTCCAGTGACGTAGCACCAAACCTTCTCTTGAAAAGGTGTCGCTCTAGCCTGTCAAACGTGTTGGTTTCCGACGCTTCCTTGGTGTTTATGTTCAACTTCGCTAGTCGCAATCTGTAGGCCTCAAGTGCTGCCAGGTTCAACTCGGTGACATCATCCTCACAACCAATCAGTTTTATCGAGTGTGATACGGGACTGCCATACCTCTTCGGTCCCTGGTTTTTAGTTTGTCTGTTACTCCGTCTGACCGTCGTGGTGTCTTCCTCCTTATCGGATTCATCCGCAAATCCTGGTGGAATAATCTACCGGGTCCATTTGTCGTGACATTAGTTTCTCGGCTTCTTTTTGGACTCCGCGAGTCAACACTTGATTTGTTACATCTTCCCATTCTTGAGATGTCCTGTTATTGTTTTGAAATGTGTCCAGAATTTCTTTTTCACTTGTCTGTTTTGTGATCTTCTTGGTAGTAGGAGCTTCCTTTGGTGTCGACGACGGTATGTATACTGCCTCGTTACTCGTATCACGTTGTTTAGTAACTGTTTTGGCAGCTTTCGTCTTTCCTGATTCTTGTGTTTTGCCCCTTGTCGGTTTTTTGTTCTGGACTATCGGTCCTGCTCTGTTCGGTTTTTCCCGTTTACCTCCTAAGTTAAGGCCTCCGCCGGTTCTTGTCTCTCTTGATGTGACCACGCTCGGTGAGTTTTGGAACTTTTCTTTTAGCTGACTATCTTCTAGATTTTCGTCTTGCAGCCCCCGGTCTTTCGCGTCATGTTCTTCGGCAGAATCGCTGTCTTCCTGTACTGGGAGTGTTCTTGTTTTTTGTTGTTTATTTCTCGGTTCCTCTCCGGTTGGGCTCCTTTTCTTCTCTGCACTATAGGCTTTGGGCTGTGTTGACAGTTTAGATCGCGCAATGTCGCTTTTTCTATATACTGCACCCGCAGCCGTTTTGATGGTCGATGGTGTCGCTGATACTATCTTGGATTTTAAGGGTATTGTCAGGGCCTTCCCGCTCTTCCTTTGTTCGTGTTTCCGAAGGAAACTTCCAGACAAATCCTCCTTTGATTTGTTTTGTTTGTCTTCAATGAATCCACGTTCCCATGAGTATAGAAGTTCTTTCCTCAGTTCGGGATTTATCGTACTGGTTTCATCTACGACCCGGCGTAATTCGCTGTCTGAAAGGTCCCGTCTGGTGGCATTCCACTTAGCGTTTGCCTCTAGAAGTTGTTTGAGTTCTTTAGCTCTGGCCCTCTCTTTTGCAATCGCCGTGTCGTGTCGAAACAAAGGGCTTGTATCCCTGCTATTTCGTCCTTTGCGAATGATTTTAACATTCTCCCTCGACTGATCTATTCGCCTTTTCAGCTGTGATGCTGTTAGTGCCGATCTCTCCAAGTGTTCTTTATCTAAACGATCAGAATCCATCAAAAATTTATCCCTTACAATCTTAAATTCCGTTTTCGGTAATCGGCCAAAGTGTGCTTCGAACGGGGACACTTTTATTGATTTCTGTTTATTCCATCTTAGGTCCCTAATTATTGTACTCAAACATAATTTAATCGATTGTACTTTCTCGTCGAGTAGCATTACCCCCAATCTTCTTTTAACGGTTTGTATTGTTCGTTCGACTAAGCCACATCCTCGGTGATCCCCGACTGGACAGAATTTTTGTTCGATGTTATTTTCGGTGCAAAATTTTTTCATAGCTTTCCCTTTGAACCCCGAAAATTGGTCCGTTTTAATTGATTCCGGTATTCCATGAGTGTCTATGTAAGTACGGAGAAATTTTATTGTTGATTTTCCCCCTGTAGATTTCGTTACTTTGACTGATGGAAATTTTGAGTATCTATCAATAGCGACTAATAAGTATATCTTCTTCCCCTTATGATCTTCAAGTGGACCCGCATAATCTAATTGTAGTTCTTGACCTGGCTGTGACAACAGTGGGAGTGGTTTAGTCGAATTTTTGGGAATTAAGTATTTAGCGTTCTTACCATAACGAGTACAGCTTCTACACTCTTCGGCCATATTGACTATGTCTTTATGCATATGCGGCCACCACAGGTAGTTTGAGACCTCCAACATTGCTTCCTGTCCAGGATGACCTTGATGAAGTCGTCGGAGCACTGCTTGTCTCAACTTTTCGGGCACGGCCAAACGATTGTCTACTAGAAGGCAATCGTCTACCACCGACATCTGGTGCCACAGAGGATTTGTGTAGGGTCCCATGAGCTCGAAACCATGTCTGTCATTTCGTTCCACTACTCTTCTTAGCCGGTCCATCCAGGTATCTTCCGACACTAGTTCTGCGAGAAGACTTTTGTCAAATAATTTAACGAGTGAAAGTGGGTTATCTGACTCCATTAACTGTTCCCCCCGTTTGTACTCAGATTTTCGTGAATTGTGTCTTGTTTTTTGTGGTGTGATTACACAAGTCTCCGTTCCTGAACTGTAATCCCGGTCATCACTATCCAGAGTTAAATCGACTTCGACGATTTGTCCCACTTCTGCTTCGTCTCCGGAAGTGGACAGACCTGGTGATTTCGGGTTTTGTATCCCCGAGGTAGCCTCTAACTCCATTGCGACAAATGGGGGTTCTATACTCCTTCCTGAGCCCACCAGTTCCCAGAATGAGACTATTTTTGATTGAGCTGTTGAAACAGTTGAGGTCGATGGTCCTCTTTTTCCTGGGCTGACTGCTTGAGCAGTTGACGTTGATTGTCCACTTTGGGTGTTTGGCAAATACCACCTCGCCTGTGTTGTTTGTTCCAAGTCCGAATCCTCTGATTCTGATATGTGTGGTCGTATCATCCTAGTCCTGTGAAACGTTGTTGTCACTTCTTCTCTCAAGGTATTGTTGTTATTTCTCTCCTGGATCCTGACATTCTTTTTCTCTTTTCCGCTATTTTTCAATTCGTCTGATTGCATTTTTCTCGATTTCTGATTTAAGAATTTGCTGGTTTTTTCTAATGACTGAACCGACTGTATCCGCTGACGATTTTGAGATATACTGATTTTTTGATTTTCGCGCTTTTCTCGTTGAAACGAACGCGAATCTTCATTTCTTTCGTTCCGGTCGTGCTTTGTCCATTTTGGACCGTTTTGGTTGCTATAGCAACGGGTAGATGACGTGTTCTTAATCGACATATTTTGATCAATTCTAGAATATTCGTTCCGGTCGAGCCTATCCTGATCATTTATCCGACTGTTTAAACAGTCGAGAGGTCGAGCCTATCCTGATCATTTATCCGACTGTTTAAACAGTCGAGAGCTTTATGGAAACTTTCGATTGATGTAACTACGAATTTTTCATCCAATACTGACTCCGGCCAGGGTTCACCCTTTGGATTTCGAGAAAGATAATCTACTATACCCATATCTTTTCCTGGTAAATGAACAACCTTAAATTGGTAAGGTAATAGTCTGTCTACCCATCTAGTTAATCTAGATTGGTACGTTTTATTTGATTTATTTTCATCCAAAGCAGAGACTAGCGCTTTGTGATCTGTAGCGATTACGAATTCCTTGCCTAATAAATAGTGTTTAAATCGATCAACCGACCATACAACTGCAAGCAGTTCAAGCTCATTTGTGGAATATTTTTTTTCTTGTGTATTTAGGTACCTGGAAGCGAATGCGATTGGTATCCACTCCCCCTCAGCGTTTTGTTGTTCTAGCGATGCGCCCAGCCCACTGTGACTGGCATCACATTTCACCCTAGTGTCTAAACTGGGGTCATAATAATGAATTTTTGTTATATTCGCAACCGCTGTTTTTATTGACTCGAATATTTCCGAATGTTCTTCTTTCCATTCGAATTTGTTTACTTGAATTTTTACACTTTTGAGTTTCTTTTTCTCATTTTCTTCGCGTAATAGTGGTCTCAATTTTTCTGTTAGCGTAGCCGCATTTGGGATGAACTGCGGCTTTGGGATGGCCAGATGATTTATACTGCCTAGGAATGATCTAAGTTGTTTCAGTGATGTTGGCGGGCTAAGTTTTAGGATCGCTTCTGTTTTTGTGATTTTTGGAGAGATTCCATCCGACGATAACTTATGCCCCAACCAATTCACTTCCTGTTGAAAAAATTCACATTTCGACAGTTTTAATGCCAAATTCTCTTTATCTAGCTTTTTTAGGACATTCATAATCAATTCTTCATGTTCTTGTTCACTCCCTTTTGATACAATAAGTATATCATCAAGAAAACAGAACGTGTTTTCCGCATGATTTAATGTTCTGTCCATAGCTTTTTGAAACTCTGCTGGCATGTCTGCCAAACCATAAAACCCTGTTAAGAATCTGTATGTACCAGTGGCTTGCCCACCTATGATGTTGAAATTGCATTGTTTCGCTGTCTCTGCAGTCAACTTTAATTGGCTGTACGCGTACTTCAAATCTAGTACTGAGAAATACAGTTTCCCGTTTGTGTTCGCTGTGACAATTTGGCTAACACCGTCTATCAATTCATCCACATTTGGCATTTGATATTTGTTTTTAAACAATTGTCTATTGATGGGTTTGGCGTCTAGCGCCAACTTTATGGAATCATCTTTTTTCACTGTTATTACAATAGGTGCTATAAAACAATCACTAGTGCATTTGTCTAATCGTTCTATATGCCCTTCTTTTAACAGTTTTTCCATTTCCTCGTACACTTTCTCTTGTATGTGTATCGGAATGCGTCTCCCCTTTTCTTGTAAAGGGCAGAGTGGGTACTTGAACTTTGTGCTAACCACATGATTTTTTGAGCACCCTTGACAATCGAAAAATTCTTAAATTTACTGTAAAATTTGTTTTTCCAACCTTCTGACTGTTCGCACAGTAAGACATCGAACCTCGTTTTTTCTTTTGGTGCCAACTTCTGTGTTGTGTGTATTCCCACTTTGCTCTGTAAATCCAGCCCCAAAATACACCGTGTGCGTCTTTCTGTGATTAAGAACGATGCTCCCACCACTTCCCACCCCGCCGAACGGATGTTCGTGGTGATTGCACCCAGTATGTTAATCGGCTGCTTGTTGTAGTCTACAAATTTTGTAGTCAAATTGAGATTCTCCCGTGGAATAAACTTGGTATTTTTCGAAGATTCTAGAATCATCTTTGCCGTCGCCCTGTTCAAGAAAGATACTGGACTACCCGTATCAATGGTCATATTTATGATCTGATGATCGATTCTCACCAGAGCCTTTAGTGACCTTATTTGTTTCGATCGAGTATTTCTTCTGATGTCAACCTTCTGTACATCCTTTCTGTGCTTGTCGGTTTCTTTGTTTTTATTCGATTGCCCTTTTATATATTCATCAATTTCTTCCAGCGAAGATAGTTCTGATTCGACCGACATAATTTCGAATTCCTCACACGATTCGAATGACTGAATCAGGTTACACTCCTCATCTGAGCTTGATGATTTTTCTGCAATCTCATTCACTTGTTGTGATTTACACATTTTAGCGAAATGGTTCGGTTTAGAACAATTCTTACATGTTTTACCCATGGCCGGGCATTTCTTCAGATGTCCTTCTCCGAATATTCGACCACATCGGGTACACGTCTTTGAATCTGCAAAACTTCTCCCCTCCTTTCTGTCTGCAAGTTTCTTTCTATACCCACTGTTTGCTTGTCTTCTTCCGCTAGCATTCTTGTTACCAATACTCATTATGGGTTCTTGTTTTATCTTCGCTGCCCCATTTATCTGAACTGTACTTGCAGTTGTTGCGTTAGTTTTCTGAAACGCCTGTGTTGTCTGTTTACTTTGTTCAAACTTTAACGCTCTTTTCAGTACTTCTTCCGGTGAAAATGTTTCAAATGTCAATGTGTCTTGTAATACCACATTCTTCATTTTCGAGATGAATAGGTCCCGCACTAATTGATCCTCCAGTGTTCCTAGCTCAGCTTTTGCTGCTTGTGCAGTTAGTGCTGCATGAAATGCCTCGAGTGTTTCTCCAGTTTCTTGTGATCGATTGAATAGTTTATAACGTTCATATGTAACGCTCTGTGATTTGTCAAATGACACTTTCGCCAAGGCCACCATCTCTCGAAATTCTAACTTTGACACTTCCACATGGGGGTTCTTTTGGACGAATTTTTTCTTACCTTCTGTACCCAACGCCAGGAATAGTCTGGAAGCGACTCTTTTCTGTACCTCGTTGTAATATACGTTGTGACCAACCTTTGGACCTCTAGCTCTTCTTTCTTCATTTTCCAGGTTAATTTTATCTCTAGCTAGTTGATCTCTGGCTTCTCTATCAGCAATCGCTTGTGCATTTTCGTTTTCCCTTGGAGTTTCGGGTCTTGGTAACTGTTCTAACAGAACTTCTTTTGGTTCTTGTAACAAAAGTTCCGGCTCCACACTCTCCTTCACGGTTACGGCCAAAAAAAATTAATCTAGCCATATCCTAAAATTCCAGGGAGGGTCAGAGTTCGCGGTTGTCCAAAATACTGGAATCCCCATGTCCGTTCTGTTGTCTTGGGACAGGAATCCTGCTGGCTGCGCCATGTGATAACTGTTGGATTTACTCAAGTACTTGTAAAACAGAATAAGTAAAACGTGTTAATTTAGACTGCTAACTTGTCTTATTTTAGATCTGAGATCATGCTTGTCTTTTCATGTCTCTATCTCAACAGCAATGTCCTAAATGACTATTGCGCTTGGCCTGCATGAACGGCCTTGAATAGTAATAACAATACATAACAGAATAATTAATAGCACTATTCTCAGAGGTTACTGTGGCAGCAGTACTACACGGTACTACATTGAGGTATCAATTTTTGGTGACGGACCCTACATCCCTTGGGCGCCAATACATTCTAAATTTGAAGGGGGAGCGCACGCCGCCGAAAAAACGCGTGCGCTCCCCCTTCAAATTTTTCCAAAAAAGTGCCTAAAAACGCGTTTTTTGGCCTGTTTTTTTTGCAAAATTTTGCCTGATGCACAGGAAAATTTGGCCAAAACAGGGTCTTATTAGTGCTTTGGGAGAGCTCGGAAAATCAATTTGGCCGACCAAAAAAAAGTCGACGAAATTTTTGAATTTTTCTTGAAAAACCGCCCCCTCGTGAAAATCCTAGATACGCCCCTGGGTATCTTTATCCAGTTAGAGCTTGTACAACACAGTTGTATAGCTTTTTGCGTCAGAAACTCGTATCGAACATATAATGAATTATATTGGATCTAGATTCTTCCAACTTGTTAATATGGACAAGATTTTGAAACTGAGCCGTGCAATTTCAGCTGTTTAAGGGGGCATTTCACTATTTGCGTGGTAAAGTCACATTTGTAGCCTTAATTTTTTCGAGCTATTGGATTAACAACCCACTATGATAAGATCGCCAGGAATCTTCAATTAATTTTCCACCTGTTGATGTTTTTCTGAGATTTTTCTTACAGGACTTTGTGCGAGCGATTGAAGACTGCGTTGACTTGTTGGGATATTTGGATGCGGATAATTATGAAGAGCTACTGGAAAAAGAGCAGAAAGTGTTAACAGATTACAGCAACTGCCTCACCGAAGCCATTTCACATGCCAAGTGAGTCGTGTGCCAATCGAACGGAAAAGATAGTTGCAAATATAGGACGTTTTGAACTCACATTGTTTTCGTTTTGTACCCGATCTTACAGGTAAACAGGTTCAGATTTTTTTTTTGAGACATGAGTGAGGATTTTAAAATAAAAATTCATATCGTTTTTTTGGCTCTCTCCTCACCAACAAAAATACAAACAATATTTCACTGAATTGTCAGTATTAACGAAATTTTTTTGAGAAAAACAGTTTTTTTGGACAATTTTTTTTGGCCTGCAGTTCAAGTAGTCATGCATAGCGTTAAATGTCTAAAAGTCCCAACTTATTCTGATGAGCTACTTGCGATGGTTTATTTGAATAATAAATTTTACAAAAGCTAGCTCTAGCGATTGTTGTGTAATAAATAGTACGACTATTTTTTCAAGCTAAGTCACAATTATGGGGCTCCTCCACGGCTTTTTGATATCATGTGCTTTGACATCCGATTTGTAAAAAGTTAACAATTGATGCGTTTTGATTCCCCAAATGAACTAACTCTTTCAACAAACAACAGTACATATACAGGAATTCCATTTCAGAATTTTCCAACTCATTTTATCTGGCATTTCATAGTTTGGCTTCATTTTTTCCAATTTTATAGATGCAAAATTAGTGTGGATGCATAGCAATTGCAATTTATCGTTCCAACTTTCGTGACGAAAGTAACGGAATATTTGTTCTCGGGTGTTTTTTTTTTCTTCGGAAAGGTTCTTGTTAACTAGCCATTTTTGACAGAAATTTTTTTATATCATTCAAAAAGTATTGTTGTCCTGAGGTTAAATTTGAAAAGTTATTTCACTTGTGATCAATTTCTTGTAAAGTTATGGGGGTTTAAAGATTGCCATTTTGGTCAATTTGGGATAATTGACGCACGATATATTTAGCGCTATTATCGCGTAAGCGGAGATTTAATCCGTCTTAGAGATCGTTCCAAATTGGTTGAACGAAGCTACTTTGCCCTAAATGTTTTGTATCTAGGAGCAAAATTTATCACTTTGTACTTTATATGGCGTGTGTGGGGATTGTTTTACAAAAAAATCAATTTTTCTTACAGTTTTAATTTCATTTTATTTCATTTATTTTTTTCATGGTATTACTGCTCCATAGACCTTAAAGGGCAATCGGAACATTCAGGGCTTCGCCTGATACGAGCAGTGTTTTTAGCATATGTAGCTGCTTCATTGGTGGCTAGTATTAGTAAGTTTTCAAGGGATTGCAAATCTCCTGGTTGTAAGTTAGAATCTGCCATAGCAAAAGTTTCAATTTTCAAGGCTTATTTTTACCTTTTCTTTTCTTATTGAGCTTTTTGGAGCTATTTTTTGTCGTTTTCTCACTTGTGTTTCCAAAGCGTAGTTGCGCCTCTGTGAAAAAAATTATATAGTTTCAAATGTTTCTCTCCTTATTGGTTCAGATTTTCTAAGCAAATAGCGTTTAAATATTTCTGAAATTTATATATTTAGGGTCAACTTCAAGTTAGAAGGCAACAAATATCTACCGCAAAATGAGCTCAATGAGTAAGTTGCTGTCTGTATACTAATTCTCTCTCTCTCTCTCTCTCTCTCTCAAAATCTTTTCCTGCTACTCCCCAATGTCCATTGAAAGTTCAATTAGGAATTTTTTTTTAGCGTTGTCGCAATGAAAAGAATTTTTGCAAGGTGAACAAATGAACCAAATTGATTTTCATTCAAATAGATTTTTATTCAAATTTTAAATCTTAAAATCATGCTCAATGTTATAGAAGCTTGAAAAAATACTATGAAAACGGAAAACTTGCCAACTGAGTGGCCCGGAGGATTGAAAAAGCTACTATTGTCAAGTAAAATTTTTAGATTCCTCGTCGTTGCTCCTCTCCTGTCTTAATCTACACCATATACGTTTTATAGTCACCTGAAAACGATTTTGTTGATCCAATGGTGATCTCTTAGGCACTATTAAATTAACCAAACTGTCTTTTTGTGAAATTTAGTGTATATTTTTTGCCTGAAAACCATTCATTAATGATATTATATTTATAGATGCCTTCTGAAGCTAAATCTTCATAAGGAACTTGGCGTGTTTCTTGTTGCATCTGAGCAAATCAAGTTCCCAGATATCCCTCCATCGTCAACTCCAGTAGAACCAAGCAGAGCCGGAAAAAAGGCAGAGAAGCTGCCCAAATTGTTGGCTGGAACCTCGTCGGCTGTCAAGATCTGCTGTGGGCTTCTGATTGAGTTCCAAAGTGGACGTGGATTTGACTTAGCTACTAATATTTTGAAGGTATTCAAATTTAATGAAAAGAGAAAATTCATATCTTGTTTCTTTTCATTTGAGTTTTAATTGTATCTCAATACTTCAATGTTAAAAATTCTATTGTTCTCCAAATAGTCTTGATAAAATTTTTGTCAGAATGACGGAAAGTTTACTTCACTTGTAAACAATTTCATCTCCTATTTCCTCATGTCTTGTACCAATAATCAGTTGGTGAGTTAGTAACCTTATTCCAGATTCAATTGCTAATTTTTGCTAAAAACTCTGTCTTGAATTTTGCTTTTGTTGTGTTCTGAATAAAAATGGAGACAGCCGAAGTCAGTGAAGTAGCAAGTAAATGAGTTTGGGCAAACATTTATAGGTAGGAGTTGCGGTGGAATGCTTTGTTTGTATTCTAAATATAATCACTGATATTGCTAAAAATTGGCTTTGCTCAATCGATGATTCAAAACTGATGCAGTTTTTGATATGTTTTTGTGAATTGAACTCATTCGGCACTGGCTTGAGTTTGACGGGGTAATACCGACAATACTATTTTTGTCGGAGATTCAGTACCTTTGAATTTATCTGCTACAGTTCCTTTGATTCAATTGACATAAATGAAGATTTTTTAAAATTGCTTCAGTAAATTATTTAAGCTTGCGGTCCGATTGTTGTTGTATCAAACAATTATGACAGTAGTTTTTGGCAACTGCTGTCGCGATATGTGCTACTTGCACAGCGAACTATTAATCATGTTGTTTTCCGAATATCCCCATATGGATGGGAGGTAAATTTGATCTCGGGTCATTTTTTGATGAAAAATCAGGAAATGAAAATTTCACAAAAAATGTTCGCTGGTGAAAAAACTTTTTAGATTTCAGCTCAGGGCATCAAACGTTTTCAGGCCGTTCAAAAGTTTGTCAGAAATTTCAAGTTAACAAATTCACGCCGAAATGTGTCAAGAGGAAAAAATTACCTTGAGCTCAAATTTTTGGTTAATTTTTTTGAAAATTGCATCAAGATTTGACTATTTCCTGCTCTGGCTTAAGCTCTACTAATACAATTTGAAAAAATTATTTCTTATATAATAATAAATTAGTTTTCAAGCTATGCGCGCTACAAAATTGTATAAAACTTTATAGTTTATTTGTTGAAGAGCACCAGCTCGAGAAGACACTGGAGGCTATCCAGCCTGTTTAAAGTGCCGCAAACGAACTTGCCAATACATGAAAAGCACATGTTTGTCAATTTTATTTGAATTGTGGAAACTTTCTTCTTTTGATACTTTGAAGTTATATGAATTACTGATCATTTCCAAGAATCCAAAAAAAAGATTAGCAAATATAATGCTCAAAACAAAACCTTTTTTTTCAAAAAAAGCAGACAAAAATACCAAGTAATGAAGACATATCATGCAGCATGATTCATCATAAATTGTTCAAGTTTAACCAATTATTTCTTTTAGCGACCGATCAAATCAATATGTCTTTAAAATTTTATCTGTGAAAAATTCTGAACCAACTATATGGTGTTTTTTAAAACTGTGCAAAAATTTACTCAAATCTAGTTCATTTACTTCGATAAATTTTGATAGAATTTTCGTGTCAAACTTAGTCTGAACGCGTACGTATGCGTACGTACAGGAAATTGTTTTTCGTTTTTATATTCAATTGTTGCTTTGTTTTATGACATTCGAGTCGTGTTTCTTCTCCTAAAGTATTAATTTCTTCAAAATTTTGAATAAAGTTTTGAAGTACCTCACTGCAATATTCAGATCTTAAAATTTTACTTCGGATTTTTAGAACTAAATTATTTCCGCGTTAAAATTTTTGGAGAAAAAAATCAGCTGACGTTGTAAGACATTTAATATGGTTCTACTTGCAGTGCCATAAATCAAAATAGTACACTGATAAATTGGTTGAGTATATTGCTTAAAATTTTGTAGTAACAACTTTTTCATCAAAAAGTGTTCTTGTTTTGTACATTAAGATATTTTTTTTCTTAATTAGGTCGATATATTTTTTTAATGGTTACACCTACACCTACGTGTTTGGCATTTCCGCTTTTTCGAGAAAACGATGGTTTAATTTAATTCTCCGCTTTGTACATTAATCATGAACAACTTTGTACAATTTTTTCATCAAAAAGTGTTCTTGTTTTGTACAATAAGATAATTTTTTTCTTAATTAGGTCGATATATTTTTTTAATGGTTACACCTACACCTACGTGTTTGGCATTTCCGCTTTTTCGAGAAAATGATGGTTTAATTTAATTCTCCGCTTGTAAACATAAAATGAGTTTTGCCTGTATTCGGTGTCATTTTATTCGCTGCCATCCGTTTTGATTTTTCTGTAAGTGCGTTTTCAATGCTTTCAACATTTTTCTATTCTCAAAATGGACATACTCAATTTTGGTTTCCATAGTGTTTAAATACCGAAGTTTGGTCGCATTGATCAGGAAATAAAACCTCAATTTTGGACCGGGTACATTATGACGCCAAGTTCGCGTTCTTTGGTAGGGGTTTGGATTCCATAGATTTTGTAAGTGGGTTTGTGCGACAAATGTTAACATGTAATTAATTGAAATTAAAACATTGTGTCCGTGGAATTCGGAAGCCAACGAGAACTCTTCTGTAGTCTGCTATAAAACCGAGCTTGTAGTTGTAATTACTCATTAAGTTTAATTTTTCAGGTGTTCCGGTTGAATCAGGACGACATTGGCGATGTAGTAGCGAAAGAACTCTTCCTAGCATCCCGGTTCCGATCTATGATTTACCTGGCGTCCAGTCTAAACGAGAAGGCAGACCCTTTTCTGAGCAAGTTCTCCGACACTTTTTTGACGCAGTGTGTGAAGCATTATTTGGACAAGGCAACCACGACAGAAGCTGACGAATCAGAGGTAGAAACGTTTTAAATCTCTATTTAAATCTATTTTTAATCGAATTTTTTAAATGTTAAAATCGCTGCCAATAATGAAAGAATTTTCAACCTCCCAAACTTTGAGCTCAGGTCAAATATCTTTCGGATGATATAAAAACTTCCGTCAAAAACGGCAAGTAACAAAATCGAATTTGTTTGAGAGAAAACCACACCGATTATAAATATTCCGTCGCTTCCTTCGAAAGTTGTAACAAAAATGGATCTGTCATGGTGTCAAATAGCTTTGCTCAACAAAATAACGCATTCTGGAATTTGGGAAATGATAGAAACGGAATGTTTTATGACAGGCTCTGAACGGTCTTTCATAGATCCTCTGCGAATCGCAGAAGCCACAAATCTTTCAATTTACTAAAAGAATTTAAGCCTCCGGTAAATAGATATTTATTTAAAGTAACTTGGTGATATTTGATTTATTTTACAATTTTTTCTTTTTCTGGAACGTCGATTGATACAAGCGAATCAGCAAAGTTTTTCAAAATTTTGAGCCACGAGTAGACCGCTTTTTCGACATTTTTTGGAAATTATTTTCCCCTCGTGAAAGTTTGAGTAGCTCTTTCCTGTAATAAACCATGAAAAATTGTTCGATGCAATTTTATTTGATCATCTAGATGAATTGAGAAATTTGTCTCTCGATTTGAACAAGGCTTTCAAGGTCTTTAAACATCAGGTACGATTAATACATTGGTGCTCAGCCCGCTTGTTCGCAAATTTCAAATTAAGCAGCATATTTTTTTAAGGAGGAGGAAGTGAAGAGGCTGATCGAGAAAATCGAAGATATCGATTTGCGAGTGGACTGCTTTGTGAAAATGGGAGAAATGCGACTGGCCTATTTCTGCGTTGCCAAAAGGGGCCGGGCAGGGGTGCCAAAAATGAGAGAACTGCTCGATCTGGGCAAAAGTGGGCTGCTTCAAAACTGCGATGATTTAGTGCCTATTATTGAACGCTGGCTCAAACAGAATTCATCCGCTCTTTCTGGCGCCACTTTGGAAAAATTATTTTAATAGTATTTTACAATGAGTGTTTAAGTATTTTAGTTAAGTATTTTAAATCCCTAATAACTTAAAATTTTAATTTATGTATATCTTGAGTAATCACTGGACGTATCATTTTTAATATATAATTTACTAAACGTGCATAAAATTTAAAATAAATATTAGCCTATAATGTTACTTCTTATTTTAACCTTTGAAAAGGTCACCTTTTTTACGGAAATTCCGAAAACCAGATAAACTTTTGAGTTAGATTTCATAAAAATGATATCCTTGAATTGAAAATAAGAACACATAACAACATACTTCCATTTTACCAAATAATTGCAAGCTGTTCATTTTTCAGTTTTGAGAAATTCGCTTCTCATTTGCGATTTGTATTCTCCGAAACCCCCCATTTCCGATAACTCCGATAACTGCAATTTTATTGGGAAGCATATTTTACATTAAAACGAAATCAATTTATAATGGCGTGGTGTTGACCTATGAGCTCCTCTTTTCCTTCCTCTTACCTTAATGAAATCATGAAATAATCAGTTGATGTAAGATGTGAGTTTTCATAAAAATACCCAAAGTTTGAGATCACATCAGTTTTGCATGATAATATAAACGGATGTCGGAATGCATTACAAAAATATCGGGAGGGGAATAAAGAGGAGAGGAAATTAGTCAAATGGCCTATTGCGGTGTTTCATGGTTCGAGTCCACCCATAACAGATCCTGATCCGACTATTGTTCTGGACTCGGTTCCACTGTCGTACTGATCCGACTCCGACTCCCCAGTAGTCGTGCCCCCTCCCTTCTGACTGTGTCCACGACTACTGCCCGCTCCTGGGGTACTCGAGAAAGCCATCTTGCGCTCCCATGCGTCAGTTGTCACCTAAACGAACATACGTAGTTTTGTACAACTCTTAAATTCATGTCTTGAATTCGTGTAATTGTTTCAATGCGGTGGGGGTGTGGTTACATCTCCGCCTCGCAATCGAAAGGTAGGATGTTCGAGGCCCACCATGATCTGTGCGCGTTGCTTGAGCGTGAGGCGACACTACCCAGCCCAGAAAAAACCAAAAAATTACATTTATGTTTGTCCTTTCCTTTCGTGGATAAATGGTCTTAGAAAATAAATGAATGATTCAATAATTTTGCAATTTGGTTGCATATTTATGTATACGTTTTCGGCTTACCGATTTATTGATTGACCAATTTACCACTCAGTAACAATTTAAAAAGTTAGCAAAAAAATCAACTCCAAAAAAAACATTAAAATGTGCGGCGCCAAAATACTCAGGAGTTCAACTGCTCATTATTAAAAGATACTGAGTAAAACTGTATGAAGTTATATTGTCGGACACCTGCGTTTGAAACCTGCTTTTTCAAACTAATCGTCAGGTTACGTAAACCCCTCTTGGTAACAAAATTTAGCTTGCTTAGTTGCGTGTTTTGCTGCCTTGTTTGCCTGCGATTTTTTCGGCTGTTTTTGGGTGAATTGGTTCATAATTCTGACATCACGGTTCAAAGCTTTGCAAATTCCGAAATAGACTTTCCAGAATTGCTGTGATCTTGTTTTTTCCTCCTTTTTTAAATGACACTTTCGATCCATATTGATAATTAAAGCAGCAGAAACAGAATATAATGTAAAATAAACAGTAATTCTAAAACGATGAGACAGGTGGAAAATACGAACTCAGCTTTTGACCATGCACGTGAACAAATGAACAAAAAATTTGCGGAATTTTTTTGCATTAAAATTCTAACTGGAGTTCACACGTAGTTTTCAATCATTCGAAACACTAAATTGTGCGACTTCAATGTGGACATTGCAATCAACATATGCCTTAACCAATGAAATGAAAGTGGACCAATCGCAATGGTATACTTAAAAATCAAAAAACTAAGAGCTCCATTCGCTAGAACTGAGTTTCATCTCACCTTAATTTCCGGCTCGATGCTGGCCAGATACTTCTTCTTGCAGAATGCCTTTTGGAAGTCGGTCTTGATACAATGGGCATACAGTCGGCCGTAGCACCTGACAAACACGTGGTAGAACTCATTGGTGAAGAGAGTGACCACTGCGAGCAGGATGACGAACAGGAGGTGCATCACGGGGTAGAGATAGGCCATCATGATCATGGCGTGGCTGGGGGCATACTCCTCGTGATATTCCTCACCTAATCATTGTAGCGGATTTATGTTTGGCTCATTTTTTGGGAAAACTTTTTTTCAAAACGCGATCCTTTTTTGCATTTAAGATGTGGCTTAATGAATTTTTAGACATTTTTGGCTCATTTGTTTTTGGGGAAAAAAAAACGTTTCAAAACGCGATTTTTTTGCATTTAAGACTACTTTGATTCAGACTTTTTTAATCTACTTGGCGATATTCTTCAGTCGAAGAATTGAAACGAAAAATGCATGACACAAATTTGGTATCCGAAAATATATATTTGTTTGACATTTCATCAGCCATAATTTTATCAAAAGTCTCGAGAATTTAAAAGTCACTTATCGATTGTCTGTGGTAAATAATACTTGCCCAGTGCCCTGATGCTGTCGTTCATTGGCTTGCCCATCAGGAGGAACCTTGAATCGTTCCCATTTTAGCCCCCTAGTCTATTATAGACCCTCTAAATTACACAACTCGCTGTTCTTTTTGGTGGGCTATATTTTTTCGGCTCTTTTCCAGTCCCCCCCCCCCCCCCCCTCGTAAAATTGCAAAAAAAAGCTATTTTAAAATCGTTCTCAGTAGCGTTTTGCAGGTCAAAAACATTGAAAATTTGTTCACTTGTTCACGCTGACACGCGTGAAAGCTATTTTTTTTACATGAACAGTCATTTTAAATAGAGGTTCATATTTTGAATTTCAGAAAAAATTGAAGGGGGAAACTACAAAAGAATCATTTTTTCTTGTTGTAAGCGGTGGACTTTAATGGGAAAGACAGGGGGGAGGGGACCTGTGGTACAGGGAGATGTCAATGAGGTACTGTCGTTCCAGAGACTCCCCAATCGCGAACACTCCTGCGATGCAGTTCTTGATAGTCACAGGCAGCAGACCAAATAGAATCAGAATGGGCCACGTCGCTCTGGTTGAGACACGAAGTCACAAGGCTCTTTTTCCTTGACTTATCTCAGGTAATGTTTTGAACTATTTTCTGAATCTTTCAGCTTATACCCCACCCAGAAAATTAGACTCTTCTTGAAAATTTAACCCGGTTGGAATACAAAAACTATAATTGTAGATTGTTTTTGTCATCTCAGAGTTTTGAAATATTTGTTGGACATGCCTGTTATTAACTCCTCGTCATTTATTTTGGCCTTCAAAATTTCAAGGTTTTTTAAAGCCAGCGTCGGGGTAAACAAAGCCAACAGAAAGCTGGGAAAGAGGCAACTAACGCAAGTAAACTGAAAAAAATTATACCTAAAAATACCCAACTTTTGAAATTCCCAGAAAAAAAAACTAACTTACGCCTACAAATACCTAACTTTCGAAGATCGCAGGAAAAAAAACTAACTTATGCCTAAAGAAATTAAATTTCGAAACTCACAGAAAAAAAAACCTAACTTATGCCTGAAAATACCTAGCTTTCGAAATTCACAGAAAAAAAATACCTAACTTATGACTAAAAATATTTAACTTTCGAAATTCACAGAAAAAAAAATAGCTGACTTATGCCTAAAACTGTTTCAGTGCGAGGCCAAACTGTGCACTGGATAGGCTCACAGTTTTTTGTCTGTATGTTCCTGGATTATAGAGACAAATCCCTAAACAAGTTCCAAAATGTAAGTGGATTCCAGTTACAAAAGTTTCGCAGATTCCGCGTACAGATACCTGTAACAAAAAATTTTCTCGGCACATTTGTTTTGTTGCGGATTCCGCAACAACCAAATATAGCTAGTTGTTCTGGATTCCACAAAATGTAAGTGGAATCTGCAAAATGTAAGTTGAATCCGCAAATTTAAGTGAAATCCGCAAACAAAATGCGAATTCCACTTACAATTTGCGGATTCCACTTAAAATTTGCGGATTACATTTACAATTTGCGGATTCCGTTTACAGTTGCGGATTCCGCAACAGCTCCATGTAATAATACACATGTCCTATTATTTCTCTATGGATTCCACCGAATGTTCTGGTTTCCGCAAATACAGTTGAGGAATCCGCATTTTCGCCTAATTTTGGAGCGATTTTGAGCGGTACAATGTTTTAAGTTTTCGTTTGTGGAATCCAAAACAGCTTAGAAGATCAACGAAAAGTAACAATGTTGCGGATTCCGCGACGAATCTGATTTTGGTTTGTTGCGGAATCCGTTATCAATGCACAGAATGCACAATTTGGCCTCGTAATGTTAACTTTCAAAATTCACAGAAAACAAAACACCTAACTTATGCCTAAAAATATTTAAATTTTCAAATTCACACAAAAGATCTAACTTATACCTAAAAATACCTAATTTTTCCAATTCACAGAACAAAAAACCTAATTTATGCTTAAAATTACCTAATTTTCAAAAATCACAGAAAAAAATTAGATGCCTTTAAAGCTCTTTGAATTTTTTGGACATTTTACTATTGGCTTTGTTTTGATAAAAAATAAATCAACTTGAGGAAGCTAGATCAATAAGTTAAATTTTTATTTCGCTGGGAAACTTGAAAACTAAATTTCATTTTGAAACTAGGAGTCGATCACGCTTGGTCTCAAAAATCAAACGTCAAACCGCGAAAACCCACACTTGAGCCTGAACAAATATTATGATTTCCTGAAATAAAAAACAAAAAAAAACATCGCGATTTACTTATCGACGCTTAAAAAAGCCGTAAAATTGTGTCGAGACAAGGTTCAGGCAAAATTATATCCCATAGGAAATTTTTTCAATTGTTAAAATTATCGTATAGACTATTTACCCCTATCTAGAAACTGAAGTTTCTAATTTTGAAAATTGACTTTAGTTACTATTTTTGTTTGGCGAAAATTTTGTTGAGCAAAAAAATCAGAAGGTTATCAGAAAAATAAGTTTCAGCGGGGATCCATCGAACTGTCGAGACCAGTGGAAAAAAAACAATTAATGGAGAAAACTGCGAAGTTCATTGATTAATCTATAGATCAAGCCACAT